GTCCCATTCTGTGAGCTTGTGTGGCCTACCACTTCGCAGCTGAGCCATTGTTACTCCTAGATGTTTCCACATCACAATAACAGCACTTACAGTTGACCTGGGCAGCTCTAGCAGGGCAGAAATTTGATGAACTGACTTGTTGGAAAGGTGGCATCCCATGACGGTGCCACGTTGAAAGTCACTGAGCTCTTCAGTAAGGCCATTCTACTGTCAATGTTTGTCTATGGAGAATGCATGGCTGTGTGCTCGATTTCATACACCTGTCAGCAACGGGTGTGGCTGAAATAGCCGAATCACTCATTTGAAGGGGTGTCCACATACTTTGTATATACAGTGTACTTTACCGCACACATAACTTATTCTACATTACTAACAAACAGATATTCCTTAATTATAGCTTGACTTCTAAAAATGTATGTAAAAACACACTCTGTAGATGCAGAAACCTATTTCACTTCCTCAAAATCCCCAGGATGAATGAAAAAATAACGAAATAAATCTGCAATGAATTTTGATGTTTTTGCAGAGGATGTTTTAGTTGCGCAATTTTATATCTAACTAAGGTGTTTGGTGCAGTATTTCTCAAGTAAAAAAATTTGTGCAACGTGTTGTCTTATGTAAACTAAATCAGAGCTGCTGGGCAGGTCTGTCTCACTGTCTATGCTATTGGATAGCGAGCACTCACTGCAGCTGTTCACCCCATGTTAGTGGGCAAATGGACATTGTCTAATCAAAACCCAACCTTCATTTACCCGTTGCGACGCACAGATGTTCCAAAATCCTTTTTAGACGAGACTGACTTTATGATAAAAAAATTATCCTATTTACACTTTGTAGTCAATTTTGACACTAGAATAACTGTTTCTGACTAATATCGATGCCACATAGCCGTTTTCAAAGGGATTCGTTGCGTTTTAAAGGCAGTCGCTCTTTAAGGCAAGTACATCACCCTAAAAAATTCTACACACTTATAAAAAGTGTACTTTAAATTAATTGTTTTTCAGTCTTTTAGTATACTATACCTTCACTATCATTATACTTAAACACACTTATTAAAAGTGTACTTCAATTGTATATGCTTTAATTGTAATTTAGTATATTCATTCCTAATACACTTGGAGTTGTTTTTAAGTTGAAGCATTGATTTTATTAATAAAAACTCTGCTCGTGATCAAGTACACTATAAATATAGTTTCCAATAATGAGTTTCGAAGTATTTTCTGAATTCCTGTTCAGAAGAGTGCAGCGAAAGAGAAAGTTGACAATGATAATGATTGTTTATTTCACATAAGGGAACATGCACTGCTGAGGAACATGCTTCTTGAGAGAATACTTTTTCGTATCTCAAGAAAATGTACTTAAAGGAAATTTTCACCCAAAAACTATATTTTGGCATTCGTTTCATTAGTCCATTGTTGATATAGTCCCAAAATGTTTTGCATGTCAGCAATCTTTTTGAAAGTTATTTGATTTGATTTATTTGAGTAATTAGGATCCCAATTAACCGATGCCAATGGCAACAGCTAGTCTTAGTGGGGTCTGACACATAACGAAACAGACATTACAGGAAAAAGACTTGACAATTTACATACATTTAAAAACATTAACATGTAGTGTGTGTGTGCATCTATCAGTTACACATACATGTCAGTACATACACACAACAAGTAGGTCACATGGGGGAGAGGCGTGCCATGAGGTGTTGCTTTATTTGTTTTTTGAAACCAGGTTTGCTGTTCACTTGCGCTATATAAGATGGAAGGGAATTCCACGCACTCATGGCTCTGTATAATACTGTACGTTTTCTTGAATTTGTTCTGGAACTGGGGACTATGAAAAGACCCCTGGTGGCATGTCTGGTGGGGTAAGTGTGTGTGTCAGTGCTGTGTGTAAATTGACAATGCAAACAATTCGGGGGTTGTGTCAGTGCTGTGTGTAAATTGACAATGCAAACAATTCGGTATTTCTAACACATTACTGTTTCTTATAAAAACAAGAAGTGTCAATCTTTCCTCAATTTTACCTTATCCTTTTACACACAATACCCCATAATGACATAGTGAAAACAAGTTTTTAGACTTATTGAAAATTAAATAATTTACATAAGTATTCACACCCCTGAGTCAATACTTTGTAGAAGCACCTTTGGCAGTGATTACAGCTGTTAGTCTTTTTGGGTAAGTCTCTAAGAGCTCTCCACACCAGGATTGTGCAACATTTGCCCATTATTCTTTTCAAAATTCTTCAAGCTCTGTCAAGTTGTTTGTTGATCATTGCTAGACAACCATTTTCAGTCTTGCCATAGATTTTCACACAGATTTAAGTCAAAACTGTAACTCAGCCACTCAGGAACATTTACTGTCTTCTTGGTTAGCAACTCCAGTGTTTATTTGGCCTTGTGTTTAGGGTTATTGTCCTGCTGAAAGGTGAATTCATCTCCCAGTGTCTGGTGGAAAGCAGACTGAACCAGGTTGTCCTCTAGTATTTTGCCTGTGCTTAGCTCCATTCTATTTATTTTTTATCCTGAAAAAATCCCTAGTCCTTAACAATTACAAGCATACCCATAACATGATGCAGCCACCACCATGCTTTAAAATACGGAGAGTGGTACTCAGTAATGTATTGTTTTGGATTTGCCCCAAACACTTTGTATTAAGGACAAAAAGTGAATTGCTTTGCCACATTTTTTGCAGTATTAGTTTAGTGCCTTGTTGCAAACAGGATGCATGTTTTGGAATATATTCCGTACAGGCGTCCTTCTTTTCACTCTGTCAATTAGGTTAGTATTGTGGAGTAAGTACAATGTTGTTGAACCATCCTCAGTTTTCTCCTATCATAGCCATTATTTCAACTCTGTAACTGTTTTAAAGTCCCCATTGGCCTCATGGTGAAATCCCTGGGCGGTTTCCTTCCTCTCCGGCAACTGAGGTAGGAAGGACGCTTGTATCTTTGTAGTGACTGGGTGTACTAATACACCATCCAAAGTGTAATTAATAACTTCACCATGCTCAAAGGGATTTTCAATGTCTTTTTTTTTTTTTTATTTTTTACACCCATCTACCAATTCCTTCTTTGCGAGGCATTGGAAAACCTCCCTGGTCTTTGTGGTTGAATCTATGTTTGAAATTCACTGCTTGATTGAGGGACCTTACAGATAATTGTATGTGTGGAGTACAAAGATGAGCTAGTCATACTAAAATCTTGTTAAACACTATAGTTGCACACAGAGTGACTTTTATAAGCAAATGTTTACTCTTGAATTTCTTTAGGCTTGCCATAACAAAGGGGTTCATTACTTATTGACTCAAGACATTTCAGCTTTAAATTTTTTCTGAATTTGTACACATTTCGGAAAACATAATTCCACTTTGACATTATGGGGTATTGTGTGTAGGCCAGTGACAAAAATATCTCAATTTAATCCATTTTAAATTCCGGCTGTAACACAACAAAATGTGGAAAAAGTAACTACAAAACCTGCAAAAAGTCAAGGGTGTGAATCCTTTTATAAAGCTGTTTGAGAAAAGATACTAGAACAAGGAGAGGATACAGGGCGATAGCTCCACCCCCTCACTCTGCAAGTTTCGGTCAAGTCTTTGGGCCAAATGTGCCCTGCCCTTTCGAATTTCAAAAGACGCTTACACCCTGCTAAATCGTGATTTGTTCAAATAACCAGTGACGAAAAACTTGCGAACCGTAACAACTGTTGCTTGTTAGTTGTCCCATCCTACAGTCTTTCGACAGACATTAATATATAATTTATGTTATGTAGTCTGTCTACGAGAGATTACAACTATACAGATAGTTGAATAATCAAAATGTCAGAATGAACACAATCTCAAACTTTCTTTATAAGTCTTGCATGATAACCAGCCATTTTCTGAAATAAACTGTTCCATCACATTTAGTTGTATGAGTTGTTGTGTTTGATTACTACCTCCTGCTGTGAGAGCACCTTCTGGTCTGCCATTGAAAGATAATGTGTAGTGTAGTCCGACAGTGCTGGAGATAAAACATTAAGTAGCTGAGATTTGTCTCTGGAGGTTTAGGGTAGAGATGTCTATCATAATCTCAGCATTAGGTCAGAATCATTCAGTTTGGCTACTGCAGTTATAGGGAAACATAGAACTGCCTTTAGAAATGCACAACAATTACTTGTCGCCTAAATTATACATGATTTTTTGCAAGGAACATTCAAATCATACAGAATTCCAAAGCTGGGTGACCATTACAGCCAGCACATGGAGTACCTAACATTTTCTCAACGTATTGAAAGCAGTCTGTTCTCTTAACAAAACACTGAGTTTAGGGTCAAAGTTACTACATGAAGCAGAAACACTTAAATTGATGGATAGCCAAAAAACACTGATGGGAGTGAAAATGAGTGAAGACAATACTACCTCTCATTGAGCTTGTCGGAAACATCACACATTGTCTGTAAAGGATAGCTATATCATAAAACGCAAGAAAACGTGGTTCAAGGAAACAGGAGGCACTCGATGACAATAGCGTCAATGCACTAACTGCTATTCAACTATCTCCAGTGCTGTAAGCTTCATATATCAATTTCCTCCCAGTAAGACTGACTTCCTGTTGCAGAGACTCTGCAGCCATGCAGAGAGTTCAACAGGGCTTTGCTTACTTACTCAGGATAATGTCTATGTATCTACACACTGAGCAGCAGCGGGTAAATGTAGTCAGGTTGCCATGCAAATGTCCTGTGCAGCTCATCAGGAGAATCTATGATCAGGAACTCCACGAGGATGTGGCTATTGAGTGCCTTCTTCCTTCTTTCAGTCCACAAAAAGGAGAGGGAAATCCCACCCTGTATGAAATCACACCCTGTATGTTCCTTTCACTGTCTTCCTCCTTTTCACACATTCCTTTCATTTGGCACTACTCCTCTCAGCAGCTGTCTTTTCCTCAGTGTCGCCCTGTCTCAGGGCCACTCTGTCATCTCAGTGTTGTGGCCTGTCCTCTGTCTCAGGGCCACTCTGTCATCATAGGTCAGTGACTTTATTCTCCACGGCAGCCGAGATCTGCTGGAGCCTGTATCCCAGCTGCATCTTCTGAGCTGTGGGATCCTCCTCTAGAGCAGTGATGATCTGGGAGGAGAGAGTACCAATAAAAGGTAACTGTCCAGTGAAAATCACACTTTTTTTATTAGGTTTTATTTTTCCTTTTCTTTCTTTCTTTTTTTACATTCCAAAACAAACTCATACGAACGACAATTTACAGACACATAGAAACAATTACTACATCTCATCTGTCCAGACCCGCCTGCTCACACCCCCATCCCTAGCGCATTATTGTTTGCCACTTGGTCTTAAATTTGACCAATTTGTTTTTCTCAGTCGCCCATGCTATTGCAATATTTTAATAATAAATAATTCAATTTTTCCATTGTGTCAATGATGGCAGATTGATTGACTTCCAAGTTTTTAGTAAAATATGTTTTTTCAAAATGAGTAATGAGAAAAGAATCGTCTAGCCCACTGGGTATCTCACTACACCCCCATATGTCATGTCTTGAAAATATGCAGACAGATGGATTAAAAGTAAGTTTATATTGTAATACTTCTGACAGCCAACTTTCTAGCTTCTCCCACAACTTCCGAACTTTATAGCATTCCCAAAAAGCATGGATTATTGAGTCATTATTAGTTTTACACTTGAGACGTGACTCTGCCGTTGTGCTGTAGAGTTTGTGAATTTTGTCTCTTGTATAATCAATTCTATACATGAATTTATACCGGAGCGTACATTTTCGTTAACTGTAATTCCGTTAGTTATACTCCAACTTTCCCTCCATCTTATGCCAACATCAGTTATTTTTAAATCTTGGTTCCAATAGTTTATATTTTTTTCCTATGAGGTTGTCAGTTGGATATGCTCTCTGCAAGGTTTTGTAGATCTTTCCTATCATATGAACATCCTCTTCTGACTCAAATAAGATTCCCTCAAGGTTGCTCTGATGTCCAAAAGATTTCAAATTTATATTTCGTGATATGTATTTGAAACTATCTACATTGGTCAGTCCAAAATTACTTTTTAACTCTGTCATGGAAATACATGTATTTCCTCTTACCAAGTCATTTAAGGTTTCTATGCCTTTAGGTTTCAATGTGGGCCAATTTCTTGATTCATTCTGAAAAGCTATCCAAGGATTATTCCATAAGGTTGTGTTTCTAGGGAGTGATATTGGTTCTGGTAAAATATATGTTTCATTTTCTTCCATATCGTTATAGTGTTCTTAACTGTGAAGTTGTTAATGTTCTTAGCTTTATCCTCGAAAATAGACACGTAGAAAGATTATAGGGATGAGCATGCGCATCTTCAATATGTACCAATTGTTCCTCTTGAGTGCATTCAACTATATGTCGCAAGTAAAAGCCTTGGGTAACGAGTTAATAGAATTCCAAGTCAGGAAGGTTAAAACCTCCCTCAGATTTAGGAAGAGGTAAAACTTTCATTTTTATTCTATGAATTTTATTTTCCCATATAAAGTCTGTTATGACCGAGTATACTTTTTTAAAAGAATGTCTTCGGTGGGGTAATTGCTATTACCAAAAATAATACAGAAAAAAAATACAAAAACTTTGGTAGCCATGCCATTCTAAAAGAGGTTTATTCTACCTGTAAGATTTTTGGGAATTTTATTCCATTTAATTAAATCTGAATTCATATTGTTGAGTAATGGAATAAAGTTATCTTTATATATTTGTGGTTTATTGTCACTTATTAAGCATCCTAAATATTTTTAAATGTTTTGTGGTCCACTTGAAGGATTACTTTAAATCGTGAGTTATTCTTTTTCTTTTTCCAATTGCCATTATTTTGTTTTTTTTCCACGTTCATTTTATATATTTCGTTTTCAATATTGGTCAGGTTTATCAGGAGATCATCTGCAAATGAGTTTAGTTTATATACATCTTTACCAATACTGATACCTGTTACACTTGTCCTGTCTAATTCTTTCCACAAGCAGTTCAATTGCCAGTGCAAACAGAAGGGGAGAGAGAGGACATCCCTGTCTTGTGCCCCTTTCTAAAGCAATTTCATCAGATAATGTATTATTCATGTGTATTTTCGCTTTAGGATATTTATACAATATTTCTATTAAATTTATTATTTCAGCTGGAAAGACGATCGAAAGCTTTTTCGGCATCAACAGCCATTATTGATGAAAACTCATACCCAAATAATGTTGTTGACTCATCCTATACTCTTATTTGTGGCCAACAAATAAATTGGAGAGAAAAAAACACCCACCTCAAACTTGTATTTCTGAAGCAGACCGTTTAAAAAATGCTTGCTATTTCCTCATAGAACATGGTGTCATCCTCAGCGGTCTACTCGCTGCTTTTTAACATACTTAATTAAAACTATTTGGAAGGAAAACTATTTCACTCATATTGTAATTAATTATAGGTCATAATAGAGAAATCTGGAAACACTGGACAGTTACTTTAAGATAGACAATTACTTTTGTTTATCTCAGCTAGCTTAACATCTAATGGAAATTACAAGGAAGGGGCTCAAAAGCCTCAATGGATAGAAATGGAGGACTCACCTGATCATAGTACTTGTTGATGTACTTGTACAACTCATGCAGGGCCACAAGGTAGTTCACCTCGCCAGCATAATTCTGTAAAGAAAGAAGGTGGAAATACTCACTAAAACTTTCTTGGTTCATAACTTCTACGTGCTCTATACAAAAACAACCAAAGGCCAAACAGAAAAGGCCTACAGCACAAAATTAACCTCAAAACATGTACCAAGTTGTAGATATTTTTAAAAGTAACATACTCGAGACAGTTCTGCAAGAGCAGAATTCATTTCCTGGTCACTGGCAGAAATGGTCTGCCTGATGTCAGCATAGTATCTGAAAAGTGAGGGGGGGGGGGGGGTGAGTAGTGAGGGAATGGAAATCTGAGATTAGTGCACCCTCCATAAAATCCATATGCTACACGTCTCATACAACACTAATTCATCCATTTCATGCAAATGACTACATTAGAATTCTTCTGACATGAGTTCCCTATATAGCTATGGTTGTGGTGTGTGCTGCCAGACCGACAGACTTTCCCCAGAAGAGGCCCTGCATGCTCAGTGAGCCCGCTCCATGGCACTGACAGATTGGCTGTGCCCTCTCTGCCCTGCCCAGGGTCAGGAAGGTAACAGCCTGGCGTATTGTATTCTCACCTCTCTACCATCTGCTTGTACCGTGGGATATCTCTGGCATACAGCAACTTGTTGATAGGAGAGTCCTAGAGGGAAAAAAATAAAATGTTCTACTCAAAACAAAGTACGGTTACATGAGTGTTGAGAACGTGCATGCTCTCGTTCTCTCTCTCTATACTTATTTATTTCATTCAAAAACCCCTGGTATCTCTACTCTCCCTTCATTTCTGCTAGACCGTCTGTTCCCCCTGGGCCCTTAACCTACTCAGTAAGGTCTCCTCTCCTTGTTTGCCTCACCCTGCCCAGCTTGTGCTCTGCAATGGTACAGGAGTCCATGAAGGTCTGGGCTATGACAGACAACACAGCATCCACGTGGTCTGATGCCTGAACGTCAAAGATGAACTGAGGGTTCTTCAGGATGTTAATCCAGAACCTCAGGGGTAAACTGGTGGGAAAACAAACAATTAGAACTCTGTATGCAGAGAGATGTTATTATATTTAAAGGGAAAATCAACCCAAAACCACTAATTCCTTTAATTTACAGTGTTAACTAACACTAATATGTGGGAACAATATTTTTTGTTTACAAATGTTTCATTTTGGCGTTATAATAACGTTGGTAGCAACATGGGATATCATTGTGTAAAACTGTGGCAGCTCAAATCGACTACTAAACCCACAATGCAAAGCTCTCTATGGGCTGGCTTGTAAACTATCAAACGTAGCTACACACAATAATACCAAAGACAATATCAGCATGTAACATAGCCAGTTAGATGTCAAACAAACGGCACTGTCAATTTCGGAGTATACAATCTCACCATGTTCAACCTGCAGATCAATGTGCCTCACAGAGTGGAATTTAACATTCGCAACGGCAGATGTACTTTTGAGAAGATGGGGAATGTTGCCCATGCTACGTCAATGGTGCATTCTGGGCGATTCTGGGACAAGGAGTGAATGGGAGTCTATTGAGCGCTAAACATTAGCACGAATTTTGTCAACAAGAACTACAACATTACAAATATTTTCCGAGATGTGAGATAATTAACTTGCTATCTGTAGTATCGGATAGCTTTGGAATCATGACATGATGTACTTTAGAGGAAAATAGACATGTTTCTCGACATATACATTGACTTTAAGAAGGGACTGCGTGACGATTAGTTTAGCAACCGTGTGACGCACCATGACAACGTGAACGCGATTGGTCGACAGTCTGCTGGGTGGGGCGTTATACGTTCCTTCATTCATTGGATTGCTATCTCCTTTCTATAATATCTCTGGCAACGGCACCATGTAATGCACCCTGGACTAAAGAGGCAGACCAATAGGAAAAATGTGCTAGACCCTCTGTTAAATTACACATTTCTCGAGTTAGGAATATCGCAAAAATATGATCAATGGGTCATTTGAGAGAAAATATCCTCCCGAGTTATGACATCGGCCAGTTTTGAAATCTGACATGTATGATAGACGTTTTTGCGACCTAAAAGTCGTATTCCTATTAACGTCCAGTGTAGTGAGAGCGACTTAATCACGGTGATACATAATACCGGACAGATTTCTGCCTGCTTGAACGCCAAAAACCCAGATACACATGAAAACGTGAAATGACCCAGGGAATCGATAGGACATCACTTAGAGATGCACAAAAACAATATAACATTCAAAATGGGTGAACCTTTCCTTTAATGACGAGGCCCTGATCTGTATTGGTTGCTGTTATTACAAAAGATAGGAAACACTTCAGTGTTTGAAAGCAAATGAACCAGTAGTTCATTTACATTTTAGTCATTTAGCAGACGCTCTTATCCAGAGCGACTTACAGTTAGTGAATACATATTTTTTTTTATACTGGCCCCCCGTGGGAATCGAACTACATCCATGCCGGCCATTCCCTCCCCTACCCTGGACGAATTGTGCGCCGCCCATGAGTCTCCCGGTCACGGCCAGCTGCGACAGAGCCTGGATTCGAACCAGGATCTCTAGTGGCACAGTTAGCACTGCGATGCAGTGCCTTAGACCACTGCGCCACTCAGGAGACTGTAGTACTGAGTTGTTACCTGTTAGTCTTCCAGATGTGGATGGTCTCAGAGTCTGTGATGTTGTGTTGCAGAGCCTGCTCATCCAGCAGGTCAAAGAAGTACTTGACAGCCATGGGAACTGGCTGGTTAGTGGTCAGGATCACTGTGAACAAGTCATCCACAAACTTCTGCAGTGTGCCCTGGGAGAGACAGCGGGAACTTATGGGAATAAATATGTGGAAATGTTGAGTGTAAATTGTTCCAAATATTGTTTGTGGTTGAGCCTATGTGTGTGTGGGATTGCTTGTTTGTTGCATGTGCGTTCTGGCACCTTCATGGAGAGTAGGCGTGTGAGGTAGATCTCGGGGATGGCCTTGGCCCTCTCCCTCTCCCTCAGACTGCCACGCCTGTGTTTGGGAAGGTCTGGCTCCTCGTTGGCTTTCACCAGGTGCCAGAGCTTCACGCCTCCCTCATCCCCATCGTCCAACATGGGCGTCTCTGACAGAAAGAGGGACACACATGGTCAGACAGTGCCCCCTGCAGGCCATCTATGTCCTAGTCTAGGTATATAAGGTAAGGTCACCCCAATGCAGTTGACATGCAGTTACACAGTATCAACACCGCAACAAAATGATCTCTTGTGAATTGTCTGAATGTGGTAGCTCTGTTGTATTGATGCTAAACAATATCCTATGACCATGCTGCCCTTGTTATGTGTCATAGATACAGTGGGGAAAAAAAGTATTTAGTCAGCCACCAATTGTGCAAGTTCTCCCACTTAAAAAGATGAGAGAGGCCTGTAATTTTCATCATAGGTACACGTCAACTATGACAGACAAAATTAGAAAAGAAAATCCAGAAAATCACATTGTAGGATATTTAATGAATTTATTTGCAAATTATGGTGGGAAATAAGTATTTGGTCAATAACAAAAGTTTCTCAATACTTTGTTATATACCCTTTGTTGGCAATGACACAGGTCAAACGTTTTCTGTAAGTCTTCACAAGGTTTTCACACACTGTTGCTGGTATTTTGGCCCATTCCTCCATGCAGATCTCCTCTAGAGCAGTGATGTTTTGGGGCTGCCGCTGGGCAACACGGACTTTCAACTCCCTCCAAAGATTTTCTATGGGGTTGAGATCTGGAGACTGGCTAGGCCACTCCAGGACCTTGAAATGCTTCTTACGAAGCCACTCCTTCGTTGCCTGGGCGGTGTGTTTGGGATCATTGTCATGCTGAAAGACCCAGCCACGTTTCATCTTTCCGTCTAGATAGAACTGCCAAAGGGGGTGGAGTTGCAATCTACTGTAGAGATAGCCTGCAGAGCTCCATCATACTATCCAGGTCTGTGCCCAAACAGTTTGAGCTTCTACTTCTAAAAATCCACCTTTCCAGAAATAAGTCACTCACTGTTGCCGCTTGCTACAGACCCCCCTCAGCCCCCAGCTGTGCCCTGGACACCATATGTGAATTGATTGCCCCCCATTTATCCTCAGAGTTTGTACTGCTTGGTGACCTAAATTGGGATATGCTTAATACCCCAGCCATCCTACAATCCAAGCTAGATGCCCTCAACCTCACGCAAATTATCAACGAACCTACCAGGTACAACCCTAAATCCGTAAACATGGGTACCCTCATAGATATCATCCTGACTAACATACCCTCTAAATACACCTCAGCTGTCTTCAACCAGGATCTCAGCGATCACTGCCTTATTGCCTGCGTCCGTAACGGGTCCGCGGTCAAACGACCACCCCTCATCACTGTCAAACGCTCCCTAAAACACTTTAGCGAGGAGGCCTTCCTAATTGACCTGGCCCAGGTATCCTGGATGGATATAGATCTCATTCCGTCAGTAGAGGATGCCTGGTTGTTCCTTAAAAGTAATTTCCTCTCAATCTTAAATAAACATGCCCCATTCAAAAAATACAGAACTAAGAACCGATATAGCCCCTGGTTCTCCTCAGACTTGACTGCCCTTGACCAGCACAAAAACATCCTGTGGCGTACAGCATTAGCATCAAATAGCCCCCGCGATATGCAACTTTTCAGGGAAGTTAGGAACCAATATACACAAGCAGTCAGGAAAGCAAAGGCTAACTTTTTCAAAAAGAAATTTGCATCCTGTAGCACTAACTCCAAAAAGTTTTGGGACACTGTAAAGTCCATGGAGAATAAGAGCACTTCCTCCCAGCTGCCCACTGCACTGAGGCTAGGAAACACTATCACCACCGATAAATCTACAATAATCGAGAATTTCAACAAGCATTTTGCTACAGCTGGCCATGCTTTCCATCTAGCTACCACTAACCCGGCCACCAACTCTGCACCCTCTGCTGCAACTTGCCCATGCCCCCCCCGCTTCTCCTTCACACAAATTCAGACAGCTGATGTTTTGAAAGCGCTGCAAAATCTGGACCCCTACAAATCAGCTGGGCTAGACAATCTGGACCCTTTCTTTCTAAAACTAGCCGCCGAAATTGTCGCAACCCCTATTACTAGTCTGTTCAACCTCTCTTTCATAACGTCTGAGATCCCCAGAGATTGGAAAGCTGCCGCGGTCATCCCCCTCTTCAAAGGGGGTGACGCTCTAGATCCAAACTGCTACAGACCTATATCCATCCTGCCCTACCTTTCGAAAGTATTCGAAAGCCAAGTTAACAAACAGATCATCGACCATTTCGAATACCACCGTACCTTCTCCGCTATGCAATCCGGTTTCCGAGCTGGTCACGGGTGCACTTCAGCCACGCTCAAGGTCCTAAACGATATTATAACCGCGATTGATAATAGACAGTACTGTGCAGCCGTCTTCATCGACCTGGCCAAGGCTTTCGACTCTGTCAACCACCGCATTCTTATTGGCAGACTAAATAGCCTTGGTTTCTCAAATGACTGCCTCGCCTGGTTCACCAACTACTTCTCAGATAGAGTTCAGTGTGTCAAATCGGAGGGCCTGTTGTCTGGACCTATGGCAGTCTCTATGGGGGTGCCACAGGGTTCAATTCTTGGGCCGACACTTTTCTCCGTGTATATCAATGATGTCGCTCTTGCTGCTGGTGACTCTCAGATCCACCTCTACGCAGACGACACCATTTTGTATACATCTGGCCCTTCATTGGACACTGTGTTAACAAACCTCCAAACGAGCTTCAATGCCATACAACAATCCTTCAGTAGCCTTCAACTGCTCTTAAACACTAGTAAAACTAAATGCATGCTTTTCAATCGAACGCTGCTAGCACCCGCCCACCCGACTAGAATCACCACTCTCGACGGGTCTGACCTAGAGTATGTGGACAACTACAAATATCTAGGTGTCTGGTTAGATTGTAAACTCAACTTCCAGACTCACATAAAGAATCTCCAATCCAAAGTTAAATCTAGAATCGGCTTCCTATTTCGCAACAAAGCCTCCTTCACTCATGCTGCCAAACATGCCCTTGTAAAACTGACTATCCTACCGATCCTTGACTTCGGCGATGTCATTTACAAAATAGCCTCCAACACTCTACTCAGCAAATTGGATGTAGTCTATCACAGTGCCATCCGTTTTGTCTCCAAAGCCCCATACACTACCCACCACTGTGACCTGTACGCTCTTGTTGGCTGATCCTCACTACATGTTCGTCGTCAAACCCACTGGCTCCAGGCCATCTATAAATCACTGCTAGGCAAATCCCCGCCTTATCTTAGCTCATTGGTCACCATAGCAGCACCCACCCGTAGTCTGCGCTCCAGCAGGTATATCTCTCTGGTCATTCCCAAAGCCAACACCTCCTTTGGCCGCCATTCCTTCCAGTTCTCTGCTGCCAATGACTGGAACGAATTGCAAAAATCTCTGAAGCTGGAGACTCTTATCTCCCTCAATAACTTTAAGCATCAGTTGTCAGAGCACCTTACCGATCACTGCACCTGTACACAGCCCATCTGAAATTAGCCCACCCAACTACCTCATCCCTATATTGTTATTTATTTTGCTCTTTTGCACCCCAGTATCTCTATTTGCACATAATCTCTTGCACATCTAGCATTCCAGTGTTAATACTATTGTAATTATTCTGCACTATAGCCTATTTATTGCCTTACCTCCATAACTTGCTACATTTGCACACACTGTATATATATTTTCTGTTGTATTTCTGCTTTATGTTTTTTTTTTAATAGCCGTGTTGGCACTACTGGACTTGGAAGTGAGGAACCTTTCTCACTGGCTTCAATCTCATGCCCTTGCTGATGGAAGTAGTTTTCACTCAAAATCTTAATTATTTCCTTACACGGATCAGTCTTCCTGGTCCCTTTGCAGAAAAACAGCCCCAAGCATGATGTTTCCACCGCCATGCTTCACAGTAGGTATGGTGTTCTTTGGATGCAACTCAGCATTCTTTGTCCTCCAAACACGACGAGTTGAGTTTTTTACCAAAAAGTTATATTTTGGTTTCATCTGACCATATGACATTCTCCCAATCCTCTTCTGGATCATCCAAATGCACTCTAGCAACTTCAGATGGGCCTGGACATGTACTGGCTTAAGCAGGGGGACAACGTCTGGCACTGCAGGATTTGAGTCCCTGGGGGCGTAGTGTGTTACTGATGGTAGGCTTTGTTACTTTGGTCCCAGCTCTCTGCAGGTCATTCACTAGGTCCCCCCGTGTGGTTCTGGGATTTTTGCTCACCGTTCTTGTGATTATTTTGACCCCACGGGGTGAGATCTTGCGTGGAGCCCCAGATCGAGGGAGATTATCAGTGGTCTTGTATGTCTTCCATTTCCTAATAATTGCTCCCACAGTTGATTTCTTCAAACCAAGCTGCTTAACTATTGCAGATTCAGTCTTCCCAGCCTGGTGCAGGTCTACAATTTTGTTTCTGGTGTCCTTTGACAGCTCTTTGGTCTTAGCCATAGTGGAGTTTGGAGTGTGACTGTTTGAGGTTGTGGACAGGTGTCTTTTATACTGATAACAAGTTCAAACAGGTGCCATTAATACAGGTAACGAGTGGAGGACAGAGGAGCCTCTTAAAGAAGAAGTTACAGGTCTGTGAGAGCCAGAAATCTTGCTTGTTTGTAGGTGACCAAATACTTATTTTGCAAATAAATTCATAAAAAAATCCTACAATGTGATTTTCTGGATTTTTTTCTTCTCAAATTGTCTGTCATAGTTGACGTGTACCTATGATGAAAATTACAGGCCTCTCTCATCTTTTTAAGTGGGAGAACTTGCACAATTGGTGGCTGACTAAATACTTTTTTTCCCCACTGTAAGTTGAGACTCACTCTCTCCAGGAATGTAGTCATGGCTGTCATTATGGACGTGTTTGGAGTTCCGGGGTACCAGTGCAACAGTGGCTCCATCCGGAACCTGCAGACCATTTGTGAAATCATAAAATCAAGTTAACAAAGTAACAAAAAGGAGACTTTACAGTGATGTAGTTAGTAATTCTGGTTAAAGGGATAGTTAGACATTTAGGTGATATAGCCCTTTTATCTACTTCCCCAGAGTCAGATAATCTCATTGATACCATTTATATGTCTCTGCGTGCAGTTTGACTGTAGTTTCTGGAGGCATTGCTAACTGGCGTTAGCGCAATGATGAAGTCTACAGGAGCAGCTAGCATGCTAGTAGAAAAAAGGGCTTAATAGCCAAAATGTGGAACTATCCCTTTAAGGGTGATAGGGAGGGATAGAATGTGATGGGATGTGTGGCCTGCTGTGTCTGACCTTGTAATGCTGCAGGGTGTTGAGGCGTTTCCAGGAGCCCTGCACCACCGACGTCAGGTCCTCGTCAGACAGGATCAGGTGACCTGCCGTGCCCGCACGCCACTCTGATCAAGGACACAATACAGAAGATTAAACATTTAATTATAACGGTTGGCTTTGTCAATTCTATAGCATGTCCATTAACCTGGACACCATGTTCTTTGGCTTCACTTCTACCTGGCATGCCAGGATGGACGAGGATGTCACCTCTTCAGATTGAACAGTGAATAATAGAGAGAGCTGTAGTGGGACCCTCACCCAGGTGGAGAGTGTCTGTGTGGGGCCTCTGGGAGAAGGACATGCCCTTCCATGCCTGCTCCAGGAGCTTCTCCTTCACCTGGGTTATGGTGTCACAGTCCAGCACCTTGGCAGGAGCCGTCTGGGGCACGTCACCGTTGCCTATCGCTGGCATGAGGACATTCAGCGTCTGAAAAGTCAATGGTGGTTCATTATACTGTTACACTGAAACTAAGGACTACTTAGTTCACCATGCTGCACAACTCCCTTTCTAACCTCTGCTTCATAATGCAACATAAAGCCCTGCATGTAGACGTGTCTTTGTGGTAAAAGGGACATCAGGGTTTGTGTGTGCTGTGCTCTCACCAGGGTTTTGTACTCTACGTCCTCGCGGAGCAGCCTGTTGTCGTTGAGTGTATACTTGGCCTTTCCTGTCACGGCGTCCACCGGTCCCTTGTCCACCTGGTGTTTAATTGCTCGGAACAGCATGTAGAAGGACTCCCCTGCAGTGTCCTAATAACAGAGCACAGAGACATGGTTCTCTAACTGCCTCTTTAGTGAGGAGACACAGGGGGGTGAATGGGGACATGGCAGGCTGAGAGACTCACCCTCAGGAAGGTAAACAGACACATGGACATCCAGTTGGTCAGGAGCTTCTCCACCACTGATTCAGTTCTGAAACAGGACAACATATTTCACATGAATGTGTCTGACACTGATAAGAAAACCCATCCACAAGAGACTTTAGAAGACCCCGCAAGAAGACTGTCATTACCCAAGACTGAGGAGAACATCATAGTGATCAATCCCCCCTCACCTTCGGAGCATGAGTCTGGGGTTCTTGGCCACGTACTGCACCACCAGGTCGTTGAGCAGAGTCTTGAGGATGTCAGTGAAGTACTCCAGCTTCCCATGCAGGGCCACGGTGAGCAGGGAGGCCACGTAAGCCCGGTCCCGAGGGGAGAAGGTCCGCTGCACCTCCAGGGTGTGGATGAACTGGGAGAGAGGGACACAAAGGGGTCAAAACAGTGACACGGTGAAAGAGAAGCATTAAATATATGCATTATGATATTACTATGATATTACTGTAGATGTTTTAGAGTCTAAATTCTATTGAGCTGGTTCAAGTTCAGTAAACAACAAAACTGTACAGCATAATTATTCAGAGTCGTTTGAGGTTACCGTGGTGAGGAATAGTTTGCTGTTGAGGAGGTTGGACAGCTGAACCAGCCCCTGCTCCACCGTCTGTCTACGGCACTCCGGCACGTCCAAATCTCGCCTCAGTGGCGACTCCCGGTGGCCAGGGAAGAAAATGCGCTCTGCATACGCCCTGTAGTCCAGGAAGGGGATACCAGAACCCACCAGGTCACTGGAACAGTCCATCATTTCAGTCATCAGGTCTACACAGAGGAAGAGGGCGGAAAATAAACCACATTGAGATACAGTGAGAATCTTTTTAGCAAAAGCACATGTAACCCACACCTGAAAAACCCACATTATTTGAGGCCATAAGATTTGTGATATAAGATGCTGTTATGTCCAGGTCTCTCTTGAAAAATAGATGTTTATCTCAAAGAGACTAAACTGGTTAAATAAAAGTTAAATAAAGAAATAAACATTTATATGTGAATTTATGGCTTATGGCGCTTTCTCTCACCTGTGAACTCCTTCTTGCAGCGGTCCCTCACACCGGTCTCCAGATTCTCCAGCTGAATCTGGACCTTCTTGTAGTCCCTCACGGCCTGTTTGCTCTTCCTCCTGACAGAGAGACACGTGGACAGACAGAAGAGCTCACGTCCAATATACCGAGCATTACTTTGAACAGATTAAATGGTTTATACTTGGTAGAGTACAGTGACTGGTCCGCTGTAGCGCAGTTGATAGAGCATGGCGCTTGCAACGCCAGGGTTGTGGGTTCGTTTCCCACGGGGGGCCAGTATGAAAAATGTATGCACTCACTAACTGTAAGTCACTCTGGATAAGAGCGTCTGCTAAATGACTAAAATGTAAATGTGTCGGCACCCACCTGTATATGAGCACTATGATGAGGACGATGAGGGCTACGATGGAGGCCCCCACGCCAACGCACACCTGGGCCTCCAGGGGGAAGGTGGACTGGACCTGGGTGTCATACTGCACTCTGCCAAGGGAGAAGTTCAGGTTTCCCATATGGACCTGGGACAAGACAGCAATGGAATTAAGAGTGGGAGGATTAGATTGAACTGTTTTATACTTCTCATCCCCAACTATCACCACAACTATAGTCACTAGATCATCCATCAACAGCATTACTCATCATATTCAGAGTTACAGGTGTGACTATCCCCCAAAATGTAAGAAGTGCCCTCTCTGATTTCCAATTTCAACAATGGTGACCCAAGGAGTGTGGACGTACAGTGAACTCAGGGAGAGAATCCATGCCCTCCTGCTTCCTGCTGGCCATCACTGAGGGCTGCTGGGATGGAGGCTCACAGTAGAGGTGGTTATGGGTCAAGGTCTTCACCGAGCACACCCCCTCCCCGATCAGAGCCACCACCTCCTCCTTAAAGATGGCCAGGTCCAGGTTCTCCCCCTGGATCAGAAGAATAATGATATTAGAGAAAGACAACTGGACAGGAAACAGACAACTCTCATAGGCTCTGAAAAACTGTTGCAGAAGCTTTTATGGTAGCAGAGATGGGGTTTGGCAGAGACCTCCACAGAGATGATGCTGCCAGGTTTGTGGTGGTAGGGTTTGCTGGGGTCATTCTGGTTCAGTGGGATTAGGATGGGGTTGAGCGCATAGCTGAAAGCCCCGCTGCCCACAGAGCTGAAGTCAAAGTGCAGGTTATCCAGTAGGAAGTCCACCTTGACCTGGGCATTGCAGGCCTCGGTCCCCACGGCAGGCGTAGGGCACAGAATCAGAGAGGAGCTGCTCACGGCACAGCGCGTCTCAAACTGGAGAGGGAGAGATGAGACAGAGGAGATGAGAAGCTTATTTATAGATCAAGCACAAATATTTTAGCAGCAAAAATACATGTTTTGCTATTTGATATTTAGAGAAAGCAGTGATTGATTCTCAACTTAAACTTTAAAGGTGATACATCACACAACATGATCAAAGAAAAGAGTGCCTATCCCTCAATGGAAGCCAGGAGACAACTGAACATCATGTTAGAGGATTCTAGTTGACCTGTTTGACAACACAGAGTGTGTCTTCAGGACAGTCTGGCTCAGGAACTATCCGTCTTTGCCTCTTGAGTGGGATTTCTCTACATCTCACTCTACTCTCTCCATCTCTGCTACTCCTCCTCGTCCTCATCCTCTTCCTCGGAGAGAGGGACTCCAGAGGACTAAGGGTCACCCGGATTCTGGCCTCCTGCACTACATCCAGGTTTTGTCCGGACACACGGATCATTCTTCCACCACTGGACACACAGAGAGAAGACTTTAAGAAAAAAAGATATATATATATTTCTGACACAATGAGTTGTGAGTGACAGTGTGCCACCCACCTGAGGAAGCTATTGGAGGGTGTAGCCATGGTTACGTTAGGATCTGAGGTGTAGTAGTAATTGGCTCCCTCTAGATGGCGCTCTGCTCTACCAAATCGGACCGTGATTCCATGCTCCCCGGTTCTGTTGCTGCCACCAGTCATACATGTAATCTGGTCATCCACGACCTCAGAGGAGCTAGAGAGAGAATGAATTGAACCAGATATCACAACTACTGCTACAGAACATTACAGGACTTTGAGGAAACTGACAAATGAATGATGAATTCTGTCATATCATGCAGACACCATTGGTTTACAGTGTTTGATCTGGTGACTGAACGTTACAGATATGCAAGATACTCACATGAGGCATGGGACTCCTCCAATCAGCACGCTGACCTCACTGGGGTGTCCAGTCTTCAGGCTCTGGCCCATTATGGTCAATGCAGAGCCCCCGGCCTTGGGCCCCTTCTGAGGGGCTATCTCCATCAGAGCTGGGTCCTGAGGAGAAGAGGAAGAGCATTAGAAAAGCACACTTTATCAGACTTCATCTGCCGGCTAGTGTTGTCCACTCGGCTAGTTCAACATTTTAGTAGAGGATTTAAAGTCTGCTACAGTTACCTGGAAGCTAAACCTTTGATCGGAGAATCCAAGTCCTCCTCCTCTCACCTCGACTGAGGCCTGGCCACTCTTCTGTCCCCTACTGGCTGTGGTCTCACACACAATCCTACAGGACAATGGAGTGTTAAAGCAGGTTGTTACTCGGAATGCAGATACAACTAGAGATACAGGAGGTAGAAGAAATCAAAGTTGTTGCATGAGAAGAACATTACCTTGAGGAGATCTCATATCTGCTGTTGATGACTGTGCAGGGGACACCAGCTATAGTGACAGAGTTCTGGATGTCTTCAGCTTTCTGTCCCAGATTAGAGCCTGAGATGGTCACCACAGTACCACCTTCTACTGGTCCAGAGACGGGCTCCATCTGCAACACAGTCATGGAGAAGTTAAGAAACGAGTCCATTTCACTGTCTGAAGACGCAAACACATGAAAAGACAATGACACAAATCAAGCCTCACAAAGTGGATGACGGGTGCTGGGCAGGACTGTTTGATCTCTTCAGTGCAGGAGTCCTGGTAACTGCATCTGGAGCGAGCTCCCCCGCACCACACACAGCCGTACTTCTGATCAGCCGTACGACAACGGCTGCAGTCTGACCGGCCCACAGAGCAGTTAAACAACGTCACTGGAACAAAAAGGATACCAGGAGTCAACAACCCAACCACAGCACATAATCTGAATGAGATCTACATCAATAGTTCTTGTCCTTTCTAACCTACCATGAAGGTCGTCAGCACTATCAATCTGAAAGTTGTCTCTCCTCCTCACACTGATCATGGCATTGTATTCCTCCGCAAAGGCAGTATAGGCATACTGCAACAACATGACAAAATAAGTCAGTCTTAGCTGTGAACATAATCATAGCTGCCTGCATAGTTGAAATATCACTCATAAAAAAAAAAACATGAAACATCCTACAGATAAACACTGTTCAAATTGCAATCCCACATAGTCTGATATTGAATAGAGAGTGACCTGGTGTAGCTGACAGGTGATGAAGTAGAGAGAGGGCTGGGTGTCGTCTGGCTCCACGTACGCCTCCACCACCACTGACCGGCCCTCGATGGTCAGGACACACTCATAGTCCAGACCATCATCCTGACCACACACAGATACATGCACACGCCAATAGATGGACACATAGACCGTATTTTACACACCACGCACCTAAAGTCAAGTAAACCATCAGCCAGAATTCCTCACCCACCTGGAAGAGGTGAAGGTGGAGTCCCACCAGAGTGATCTTCCGCTCCACATTAACAGGAAGAAGAGAGGAGCCCTCAACCTTCTCCACACACGGGCAGTCCTACTCACGTTACAGGCTGGGAAAGGACCTACGTTACAGGCATACTTTCAGGACTATTTCAGGACATACGTTAAAGGACATACGTTACAGGACCAGGTACGGGACTACGTTCAAGGACATACGTTACAGGACATACGTTCAGACATACGTTCGGGACATACGTTACAGGACATACGGAAAAGGGACATACGTTACAGGACATACTTACAGGACATACGTTACGGGACTACGGTAAAGGACATACGTTACAGGACATACGTTACAGGACATACGTTACAGGACATACGTTACAGGACATACGTTACAGGACATACGTTACAGGACATACGTTACAGGACATACGTTACAGGACATACGGTAAAGGACATACGTTACAGGACATACGTTACAGGACATACGTTACAGGACATACGTAAAGGACATACGTTACAGGACATACGTTACAGGACATACGTTACAGGACATACGGTACAGGACATACGTTACAGGACATACGTTACAGGACATACGTTACAGGACATACGTTAAAGGACATACACACAGGGGACATTGGACATCAAAGAAAACAATATCCTTCATCTCCAGGTGATGTCACGTACATTTCAGTCATTAAAAGGGGCGTTCTGCAGTTTCTACATCAATTTTATGACTTAGAAATTAATGATATGTACCTTTTTATTCTTGAAGAATATAATTTATAAATGCCTCATGAGCTTAATTCAACTGTCGTATCCCATCAGAACCCAAACTATAAGCTTGTTTTACTCCAATGTTTGTAAACAAAGTAAATGGAAACAAACACTATATACCCTCAAAACATGGTTAAAACTATATTTGGATGGTCCGTCCTTGCATCCATAGCTATGTTTATGAATTTGAGAGTGGTTGCATATCTCCAGCCCCATCTATCAGCTTTTTACTGAAAAAAGGGACACTTTGCTATTGTTTTAAATTATAACGCCGCTTTAAACCAGATTTACTGTTAGAACAATTAAGCAAATCCCACTTCAAAATGTTGCTCTACAGCAGGGTTCTTCAATACCGGTCCTGGAGGGCCGAAACACTTAATTTCTACCTGGTAGTTAATTGCACTCACCTGGTGTCCCAGGTCTGAATTAGCCCCTGATTAGAAGGAGAGGATGAAAAACAGAGGTGTTTCGGAACCTCCGGGACCGGAATTGAAGAACCCTGCTCTACAGTCTAAAAGTCTATAACATGAGATTGAAGTAAAACAAAAAACACTGACAAACAAGGCGTAAACAAAAGACAACATGTTTAGTTTGAACTGAAGACAGCCATTTTGGATGGTTTGAGCTCCAAAGCATTGACAATTGACAACTTCAGTGACACACAAAACACAAAACATAATGGCGATGCTATGTTTACACACATCAGACATATAATGACATAAATAAAGAGGGTAGGAATTTGGGATCAAATTAAGAGTAACCAATTTCACACAATGCAAATGCACTTATCCGATTAAGCACATGACTTGTACTGTGTGCATCAGCTAGACTGACAGTGACAATGAAAGCCCCCCGCCCACTCACCGGCAGATCAAAGGAGTCAGACTGGTAGTCTGGTGAAGACTCAGACTCAAGGTCAGGTGTGAGGGTAAAGGATTGAGAGGGCTGGTTTGGGTCATCAACTCCAGAGGGCGCTGTGGCAGAGGATGTTGCAGGGTCCATCTTTGTCTCTTCCTCCCCCTTGTCCCATTTCTTAGTCCAGGGGGGTGAGGCTGTACCTTCAAAGGGGGCCATGGGGATATCATCCCTGTCAGAGCCAGTGGGCAGGTCCACTAACAGGGGGACACCACTAGAGGTGGTTGAGGTGGTGTCAGAGAATGAGGGCTCCATCCCAGTGAGGCCAGTGTCTGTCAGTCCAGTAGTACTACTAGGAGACACAGTCTCTGGAGCCTTGGGCCAGTCTAGCAGCTCAACCCTGGTGACTGTTGTCTTCTCTGTCTCCCCTGTTCCACCACTAGTCCTGGAGAGACTCCCGTCTCCATCTCCCTCCACTGTGGTCTCTCCAGCGATGGCCCCTGCCTGCAGACTGGTTGTCACCTCCAGTGCAGTGGTAGCCTGGGTGGCCAGTATGGTTGAAGGTGTGGTGGTGGCGATGGTTGGTGAGAGGGTGGTGGGGACTGCGGTCGGCTCGGGGGTGGTGGGGGGGAGTAGCTGGGGGATTGGTCCTAACAGATACCTCTGTGGCTGGGAGTGTTGGAGCAGCCAGGACAGTATCAGATCGTTTGGTTGCTGGGGGAGTGGATGTTGGTGGTTTCAACTTGAGATAGTAACAACATGAGCAGAGAAGGGGAGAGAAAGGAGAGGAGGGAGAGGAGGAAGAGGAGGGGAGAGGAGGGGTGAGAAGGGAGAGAGGAGGGAGAGAAGGGGAGAGGAGGGAGGGAGGGGAGAGAAGGGGAGAGGAGGGAGAGGAGGGGAGAGAAGGAGAGAGGGGGAGGAGGGGAGAGAAGGGAGAGGAGGGAGAGGAGGGGAGAGAAGGGGAGAGGAGGGGAGAGGAGGGAGAGGAGGGAAAGGAGTGGAGAGTGGGAGAGGAGGTAGAGAGGGAGAGGAGGGGAGAGGGGGGAGAGGAGGGAGAGGAAGGAAGAAAGGGGAGAGGAGGGAGAGAGCGGGGAGAGAAGGGGAGAGGAGGGAGAGGAGGGAAGTGAGGGGAGAGAGGGAGAGGAGGGAGAGGAGGGGAGAGGAGGGAAGAGAAGGGGAGGGGAGGAGGTAGAGGAGGTTAGAGGATGGAGAGGAGGGAGAGGAGGTAAAGGAGGAGAGGGACGTGAGGAGGGTAGAGGAGGTAGAGGAGGGAGATGGGAAGAGGGGGAGAGGAGGGAGGGAGGGAGAGGAGGGAGGAGGTGGTAGAGGAGGGAGAGGAGGTAGAGGAGGGGAGAGGAGGGAGAGGAGGTAGAGGAGGGAGAGGAGGGGAGAGGAGAGAGAGGAGGGAGAGGACGTAGAGGAGGATGAGGAGGGGAGAGGAGGTAGAGGAGGTAGAGGAGTTAGATGAGGGGAGAGGAGGGAGAGGAGGTAGAGGAGGTAGAGGATGGAGAGGAAGGAGACAACGGTAAAACGAGAGGACAGGCAAGAAATATATGCAAATAAGACTGACAAAAAAAACTAAACGTTCACAACAAAAAAAGCAAACACTCAAAACGACAATACGACAAGACATGAATAAACTAACAGTTACAGTGCCTTGCAAAGTATTCATCCCCCTTGCCGTTTTTCCTATTGTGTTGCATTACAACCTGTAATTTAAATGGATTTTTATTTGGATTTCATGTAATGAACATACACAAAATAGTCAAAATTGGTGAAGTGAAATGATAAAAATAACTTGTTTCAAAAAATTCTACAAAATAAATAATGGAAAAGTGGTGCGTGCATATGTATTCACCCCCTTTGCTATGAAGCCCCTAAATAAGATCTGGTGCAGCCAATTACCTTCAGAGGTCATATAATTAGTGAAATAAAGTCCACCTGTGTGCAATCTAAGTGTCACATGATCTCAGTATATATACAACCTGTTCTGAAAGGCCCCAGTGTCTGCAACACCACTAAGCAAGGGGCACCACCAAGCAAGCGGCACCATGAAGACCAAGGAGCTCTCCAAACAGGTCAGGGACCAAGTTGTGGAGAAGTACAGATCAGGGTTGGGTTATAAAATAAAATCAGAAACTTTGAACATCCCACGGAGCACCATTAAATCCATTATTAAAAAATTGAAAGAATATGGCACCACAACAAACCTGCCAAGAGAGGGACGCCCACCAAAACTCACGGACCAGGCAAGAAGGGCATTAATCAGAGAGGCAACAAAGAGACCAAAGATAACCTTGAAGGAGCTGCATAGCTCCACAGCGGAGATTGGAGTATCTGTCCATAGGACCACTTTAAGCCGTACACTCCACAGAGCTGGGCTTTACGGAAGAGTGGCCAGAAAAAAGCCATTGCTTAAAGAAGAAAATAAACAAACACGTTTGGTGTTCGCCAAAAGGCATGTGGGAGACTCCCCAAACATATGGAAGAAGGTACTCTGGTCAGATGAGACTTTGGCCATCAAGGAAAACACTATGTCTGGCGCAAACCTCTTCATCACCCCGAGAACACCATCCCAACAGTGAAGCATGGTGGTGGCAGCATCATGCTGTGGGGATCTTTTTCATCGGCAGGGACTGGGAAACTGGTCAGAATTGAAGGAATGATGGATGGCGCTAAATACAGGGAAATTCTTGAGGGAAACCTGTTTCAGTCTTTCTGTCACGCCCTGGCTCTGGGGACTCTCGTATGTTGAGCCAGGGTGTTTATTTTGTTTAGGTTCTAGTCGTTGTCTATCTATGTTGGCCTGAGTGACTCCCAATCAGAGGCAACGAGTGTCGGCTGGTTGTCTCTGATTGGGAGCCATATTTAACTGTCTGTCTTTCACTTTGTGTTTGTGGTTTCTTGTTCTGATTTGGTTTGTGTTATACTGTAGACGTCACGTTATCGTTGTTGTTTTGATCGTGTGATCATTCTAAATAAATATATAATGTTCGCATTCAACGCTGCGCCTTGGTCTCTCCCTGACGATCGTGACAGAAGAAACCACCAAAACCAGACCAAGCAGCGTGTCCAGGAGCCATCGCTAGCAGATCTCCGTGGCAACCTCGACTGGGTCAAGCCTAGTGAGGAGCAGAGAGGGTGGACTTGGGACCAGTTGAGGAAGAGCTTCGACTGGGTCAAGCCCATTGAGGAGCTGAATGGCGGGAGTTGGAGACAGAGGAGCGAGAGTTGGGCGAGAACGATGGAGGCCTGGCCCACGGGGAGGAGAGACCCCCAGAACATTTTTAAGGGGGGGCTCACGACGTCGGGGCAGCAGGAGGCCGCGATAGAGCGGTCCAGCGGGTTGGCAGAGGAGGCCGCCAGGTTACGGGAGTCACTGGTCATCAGGGGGAAGGAGGTTGTAGAGGCACGGCGAGAGGTACTGGCGTGTGTTGCCAGTCCGGTCCGGCCTGTTCCTGATCCCCACGTAGGGCCAGTGGTGTGTGTTCCCAGTACGGTCCGGCCTGTTCCTGCCACTCCCACCAAGTCAGTGGTGCGTTTCGTCAGCCCGGCGCGGCCCGTTCCTGCTCCCCGCACCAAGTCAGTGGTGCGCGTCGTCAGCCCGGTCCGGCCCATTCCTACTCCCCGCACCAAGTCAGTGGTGCGCGTCGTCAGCCCGGTCCGGCCCATTCCTGCTCCCCGCACCAAGTCAGTGGTGCGCGTCGTCAGCCCGGTCCGGCCCATTCCTGCTCCCCGCACCAAATCAGGGGTGCGCTTCGTCAGCCCGGTCCGGCCCATTCCTGCTCCCCGCACCAAGCCAGGGGTGCGCTTCGTCAGCCCGGTCCGGCCCATTCCTGCTCCCCGCACCAAGACAGTGGTGCGCTTCGTCAGCCCGGCTCGGCCCGTTCCTGCTCCCCGCACCAAGTCAGTGGTGTGCTTCGTCAGCCCAGTCCGGCCTGTCCCTGCTCCACGCACCAAGCCTACGGTGTGCGTCGTCAGCCTGGTAAGGCCCGTTCCTCCTCCACGCACCAAGCCAGGGGTGCGCGTCGTCAGTCCAGCACAACCCGTGCCTGGGTCATGTCCGGAGCCGGATCCGCCGCCGAGGCGGAGTGCCCACCCGGTCCCTCCCCTGTTGTGGTTGGTTGGCGCGGTCGGAGTCCGCGCCTTTGGGGGGGGGGGTACTGTCACGCCCTGGCTCTGGGGACTCTCGTATGTTGAGCCAGGGTGTTTATTTTGTTTAGGTTCTAGTCGTTGTCTATCTATGTTGGCCTGAGTGACTCCCAATCAGAGGCAACGAGTGTCAGCTGGTTGTCTCTGATTGGGAGCCATATTTAACTGTCTGTCTTTCACTTTGTGTTTGTGGTTTCTTGTTCTGATTTGGTTTGTGTTATACTGTAGACGTCACGTTATCATTGTTGTTTTGATCGTGTGATCATTCTAAATAAATATATAATGTTCGCATTCAACGCTGCGCCTTGGTCTCTCCCTGACGATCGTGACACTTTCAGAGATTTGAGGCTAGGACGGAGGTTCACCATCCAGCAGGCCAATGACCCTAAGCATACTGCTAAAGCAACACTCAAGTGGTTTAAGGGGAAACATTTAAATGTATTGGAATGGCCTAGTCAAAGCCCAGACCTCAATCCAATTGAGAATCTGTGGTATGACTTAAAGATTGCTGTATACCAGCGGAACCCATCCAACTTGAAGGAGCTGAGGCAGTTTTGCCTTGAAGAATGGGCAAACATCCCAGTGGCTAGATGTGCCAAGCTTACAGAGACATACCCCAAGAGACTTGCAGCTGTAATTGCTGCAAAAGGTGGCTCTACAAAGTATTGACTTTGGCTGGGTGAATAGTTATGCACGCTCAAGTTTTCAGTTTTTTTGTCTTATTTCTTGTTTGTTTGACAATAAAAAACATTTTGCATCTTCAAAGTGGTAGGCATGTTGTGTAAATCAAATTATACAAACCCCCAAAAAATCAATTCTAATTCCAGTTTGTAAGGCAACAAAATAGGAAAAATGCCAAGGGGGGTGAATACTTCCGTAAGCCACTGTACCCCTTACCTAGGACAGTTACCAGTTTCTCTACAAAGCAAACCTGAATAGGCTGGTTAGTAGATATAGTACGTACCAGCTAGCAGTCCTGTAACTGCACTGACTGACAACCTGTAGGTGGACTTACGTGTTGGTTGTAAATTGTGACTCCCTCATCACAGGAAATGTTTGGGGTGCAGAAGTGCTGGTGAATACACCAGTTACAGCCCCAGCGGCTGCTCACACAACCTCTGCACCTGAAAACAGAGAGAAGACGGAGACAGTGAGAGGTTAACAGGGAGAAATATACAATTATATTGCGGTAAAATGTCAGCATTTTAACTCACGGCATGCGTCCAGAGAGCTGTTGGACCACGCCACAGTCAAAGAAGGTGAACTCCCAAGCAGCCACTGTCACTTTGAGGAAGCGAAGGGACAGGGGGACAGTGACTGAGTCTGAGGAGGAGAGGACAGTAGTAGGATAGTTCGCTCTGGTGATCATTGAGAATGAGAGAGGAATCATTTTGCATTTTGCTTTGTAGTGTCCTATTGGTCTCACACCAATGTCCCTCACCTTCTCCCTGGCCAATGAGAGGCAGCCTGCTGGCGTCGGGGGTAGAGCAGGTCACACCAGTGTCTGTGACGGTGGCAGGACTTTCCACATCCTGGTAGAAACATTTGTATGCTTCGCCTTCCACTAGACTTGGCAATCCCTTCACTGACACAGCAATCTGAGAGAAGAGAGAGTAGAGAGAGAGAGAGAGAGAGAGAGAGAGAGAGAGAGAGAGAGAGAGAGAGAAAGAGGGACAGACAGACAAACAGACAGGTGTCAAAGGGTATTCTTTTTTTTTTCATTTCAAGCTCAAAACAACACTGTATCTTGCACTTCTCATGTCTTACGTCTGTCTCCTCTCCACGGCTGATGTTATACAGGCTCAAGGATTGGATACTGAGACACTGCTGCTGCTGGTCAAAGCTCCACAGCCATTGGCCCCTGCAGAGCCCCCCGACTGCACTGGGACGCTGGCCACACCTGCCATCACAGGGGGACATGGGGGTGAGGGGTGGAACACAGGTCCAAAGAGAGGAAGAAATGGGAAAGGTGATCATAAGTTAATGTTGACATTTTGCCTTTGCTCTTCCTATATTTTCAAGCTCTTATTAAACTTGACTCTCTGTGGTATAGAATTAGAATATTGAGTTGGGTGCTTCCCACCCTGCCCTCCAGAACACACCAGCCACGTAAAGGGTCTCGGGTGTGAGAGACAGGACTGACAGTCCCAGGTGATCACAACTCTGCCCACCGGCCGCTTCTCTCCACCTGAAGATTACCCACCATCCCTTTCTTTATGAACAGCTTGTACTATACATGGACAATGAAGCTGTAGAGGTGCTATAATTGTGTTATATCATTTATAAATGCCCCCTAACCCCCCACCCCCCCCCCCCCCCACAACCACACACACACACCTTTATAAGTACTTGCTTTTCATGAGAAGGCCTTCTAATCTAAAAGGGAGTGTGCCAATGGCTGGTCAGACAAAATGCCAAAAACACATCTGTACCTACCCTTGATCGACTTCACTGCATTCCGCCCCCCAACCATCAGCTCAAGAAAAAAAATGGGCTTGTGGCTGAATGTAGTTGATAATCCCTGCTTCTATATTAGGAGAGTCAAGTAGCTAGTTGATGATGTGTTTTGAGCTGTGTTTTGCTGTGTGGTGTCCACTCAGACTAACCATGTGTGCTGGTCATGATGTAGATGTGGGACTCCGTCTGGTCCAGGAGAAGGTCACTGCTGATGGGTGAGTTGGGCTGGATGATCATGGAGGAGTAGTACTTCTCCACCCTACCCTCCAGAGCCTAGAAAAACCTGGAGGGAAGCATAAGGTTACTGTCGTAAACTATCAATAATTTCCAAGTAGGGCTGTGGCGGTCACGAAAATTTCGTCAGCCAGTGATTGTCAAGCAAATAACTGTCGGTCTCACTGTAATTGAATTGTAGTTAACATAAACACATTTAGCATTACATTTACATTTTAGTCATTTAGCAGACGCTCTTATCCAGAGCGACTTACATGAGCAATTAAGGGTTAAGTGCCTGCCCTGGCTTCCCACACATAGCCTACAAGCCACTGATGCAGAACCTTTGGAACATCTACATTTAAAAAGTCTAATAAATCCAATGTAATATAGCCTACACCTTCACAATAAATCCATATTTATTTTAGACAGGTCTAAAGAAGCATGATATGAAAGAAAATGTAGTCTATTTTCAGAAGAACAGAATAGCATACTCTGAGTTGTCCTTATGTTAGAGTCCTGATCTAGCTATGCCAAATGGCTGTGGACTACACTAGCTCATTTCGCAGACATGATTTAGCTTAGAATTCCCGTGGCATGATTTTATATTATTATTAGTATGAAGAATACAATTGAACAAAACTGAATAAAACAGAAAGGTTATTTTCCCAAACGATTTGAGGGAGTGTGCACATGCGGCTATTCTGTGGTTATTATAACCAGAGAGGGCGGGGCTTCCGAGGACGAGCTCGGCATCCATTGGCCTGTTGGGCGTAATTTAAGTTTGCTTCAGGTGAATAGGATTGGCGTTAGCGACTCACCATAGTAGTGTACCTCGTGTTCCCTCCTCACAAAGCAACAGCTCTAAGTTATTATTCACAACTTGTTACGATTTTATATCACGTATGTGCCCTAGACTGACACTGGTAACTGTACTGTACTGTACGTTTATCTGATGCTAGTGAATGATGCCCAAAACCCCTAGACGGTGCCGGGGCGCAAATATGTCATACTCGCTTACCTCATTCGCCGGAACCGCCAGTTATATTCATAACTGTAACGTTCCCCTTATCAGGCGCTTATAACATACTATGGGACCTAACTATCACGCCCCAAAAGCCGGCCTCAGAGGCGTACCAACTAGGGGTCCCACGGCAGGCCAAGCCATACACAGAGTTTACCACCGTCTCCAAAAAGGGGGTTACAGAGCCTTAATATTACCCGCAGCAGCCTAAACTGTCAAACCACATATAGCGCGAACAGAACCTACTGCAACTGGCCTATGCGCACATGACACGCTGCCACTGCAGCCCAAGTCCCAAGACCCACACGGGTCCCCATAACAATCTTACCTTGCAAGCCTGAAATGTCAGAACTCGTACAAGAACCTCAAGTCCAAAAAACCCTGTCGTGACTTTGTAAAGCACACGCGCACGCTGCATAGCATCGGCCAGATCGATGAACCACGGCAGCCTGAGGGCAAACCCCACAGGAAACCTGCATTAACCTGGGAAACGGTAATACTCTCGTGCTGCCACACGGACAAGACACCACAGGCTTAAACCCGCAGGGAAAACTGTGATAAACCCGGACAAATGCTGCCTACATCGATCACGGCGCCCGCCAAGTCCATGACCTAACCAGGTTCAACACGGCTCACACCAAGACCTGAGGCGTCTAGGAATGCCAGAACTCCACACAATGCGAACCGCAAAGTCCAAACAACAGCGCAGGACACTGACGGTGACTTGATAATGTGCATTTGCAGCACACGAGTTCATCGACGAACTGCCGCAGCCAAAGCGCCTCAACCCAAAGGAAACTGCTGGTAACCGGAATAAATGCGCAAACTGAAAGATGTGCTAACACCCACTCCTGGAACCCACTACTGACCACTCCCCACACCAACCCTAACACCCACCTGAGACCCTACTCCTAGGACCACTACCCTAACACCACTACATGCCGAACCCACTCCTGGACCAACTCCCAACACCACTCCTACACCCACTCCTGCGACCCAATCCATGGACCACCTACCCTAACACCCACTCCTGGCACCACCCCCCACCACCCACCCTCAGGACCCACTCCTGCCGACCCACTACCCCAAACACCCACTCCTGGACCCACTCCTGGACCCACCTACCCTAACACCCACTCCTGACCCACTCCCCAACACCCCTCCATAAACACCACTCCTGGATCCACTCGATGCGAATCCCACTCCCAACCCCACTCCCTAACACCCACTCCTGGACCCCACTCCTGGACCCACTCATAACACACCACTCCTGGACCCACTCCCAACACCCATCCCTAACACCCACTCCTGGACCGAATCCCCAACATCCACTCCTGGACCCACTCCTGGACCCATCCCAACACCACTCCTGGACCCACTCCTGGACCCACTCCCCAACACCCACTCCGGGACCCAGCCATAAGAACCTATGAGCCACCACTGGGAAGCACATACGTCCAAGCGATAATAAAAACCCTCACAAAGGTATGTGGGGAAGCCCAAATCGCGCAGCACAGATATACAATCGTCATGACCCCGAACAATGCCCAAGAAGCGCCACACCCTAGTGGAGATGAGCACGCCACTGCTAGGTTCCCTTCCCGTGCGTCACACGCCAGCGCAGGGAGGATAGCCTCCACTATCCCAATTTACGAAAAGTGCCCTACCCTCCGAGCTGGATTAGGTGAAAAAGCTGGTCATTAATGTAGATTTCTTGGTCATAGCCATATCTACGTGCGTAAGCGTGCATATGACACAGGCCATGCAAAACCTCTGTTGTTCATGGAAGCAAAAAGAGAGGTGAGATAGGGCACAGCTTGAAGCCAGGGACCCTGTACGACATAGGGATAACCTTTTGGAGCAAGCTGCATTAGGACGTAACCTCACATGGAGTCGCCAGGCGCAAACTCCAAACGGAAGGGGGTACAATAGCACTTGGAAAATCCCCACAACGCGCTTGGCGACGCCAAGGCCATGAAGCAGGGCAGTCTTGTAGGAAGGAACTTCAGGTCCACAGACTCCTTGGTTCAAACGGCGGCTACTAATGTGGGGAACCGCACCACCAGGGATGAGACCCTGGGGTAGAAGCCGTCATCCTGAGATGCTGCCATATAAATCTTCAATGTGGAAAAAAGCCCCCTGACTCAAAAAGGCTCTGAAGAAGAACATCAAAATGTCCACCAAAGAGCTCTGAAAAAGGAGAAACTCCTTTAACCTGACACCAAACTAAATGGCGTCACTATACAGTATGTATGCGCTCCTCTCATAGAGGGTGAACGCGGCCAAACCTATGCAGTCTGTGAGAGAAAAAATGAGATAGCATTATTCAGGTTAATAAATTTAGGGGGTTACAATCCTGTTACTCTGGTTGTTGTAAGTTGCTGTTATAACATAACTCTATCTCTGTAGCTAATCCAACCACGGCGGACATACTCGGTCTTCCCCCCACCCTCTGTATCTGAAATTGCATTGTCGGGATACAAGGTATCTCTGTCCGAACGACGTCTCTCCTTATCCTCTATTCTAAGAACAAACAGTTCTTAGTAATCGCATGAGAACACAGAGGACTATGATATGTGCCACCTCATCCAGTAGATATCTGTTGAGTCGACAACAGTGAGACAGTTGTGGTTGAACCAGCCTGGACTAAGCTTACTTGCGTCACTATATAAGACCTCGTTTTCTCGTATGTCAGAGCTCTCGGCCCCAAAACACTAAGAGGTGGGTCGACCAGCATCATTATTGCAGGCACTCACTCTATTCATTGGTGTTGTGGTGTGACCTGCTCCCTTATTAATACATTTTGATAAAGTAATATTCATGATTGGTGATTGACCTGGTCTCTCCTCATTAAATTAATTAGCATTTCTAAGTCATAATCACGTTAGAGGAAAAACCCCTAGCTGACAAATTACAACATTTCAGGGTCCAAACCACAGATCCCCAATATCTGCAGTCGTGGGTGCCAAATTCTTCCGTGCGCTGGGGACAATAGGATACCGAGACCAAGCCCAACAGGCGGTATCTCGGGGAACCAGGTTGTATGGACAACGGGGAGCCACCAAAATCAACAACACACCCTTACTGAGGGAGCCTATCCTCGATGGCCTGAATAGGTCCACCAGAAAAACACATAGAGCAGGATGTACGGGGAGACACCAACGTTCCCAACTGACCGAGCGCCCAGATCCCTTATTGAGAAGAACAGATGACAATGCGTATAGGTCTCACGCGCATAAGATCTACGTTGGCTCTGACGAACCGGGTTCCCATATCGGGTCCACCACAAAGGGGTTGCACTCTCCACTCCTAGAGATAGGGACCCCCCCTAGAAAGTAGATCTTCACCCACGTTGAAAGATGGGAAGATACGTCGCCTGAGCGACAGGAAATGCGCACTGACCTATGAGCGCAACAGGCCAGGTTTAGGAGAGAGAGAGAGAATGCGTCCTCCTTGTAGTTGATGTAGGCTAGTAAATTCATACCAGGAGTCCTGACTTGAACACTGCCAGAGAAAACCGGAATGAGCCTCACTCCGGCTGTGAACTCACTCTAACACCAATCTCTTCCACAAAAAGGCAGCACGACTACCAATGGAAGTTGAACCAGCCGGAGACAATGGTCACACGAATGGTCTGAGCCAAGGCCTCTGAGCTGTTGCCACCCCAGGAAATAGGACAGCACTCGTGGTATCTTTAATTTTTTTTTTTTCTTTGTGAAAACCACTAGGGCACGGTCGGAGGTTTCAAAATCGGATGGTTGCCTTTTTGAACTTACTCTACACTGGCCATCTTAGTAAAGCAAGAAGGCATTGGTACACCAAGCAAGCAGGAAGTAGTGGGTTTTCACAAACCCAAAAACCGATACCAAGGCCAAAACTGGCACATCAGGGCAGAGGTTCCCAAACATATTTGGCTCACGTCACGACCCCCATTTGATGTCAAACAAACATTTTGCGAACCCCAAACATTGTAAAAAACTTATAGTTAGGTAATCACAGCCAAGGTTTTTTTTTAATTGAGACTGTGACAGTCTATTACAAAAATCAAGTCTGACAGTACTTCAATTAAACCCTGTTCTTATTAACCAAGTGCGATTTTATATATTTTATTTCAGAGTTCTCTCACGACCCCCAGGCGGGGCTTTCGCGGGCGGGCTCGGATCCATTGGCCCCGTTGGCCGTGAATCACGTTTGCTTCAGGTTGATTAGAATTGGTCGTTGGAACTCCCCATAGGATGTTATACAAGAGTAGTGACCGACTGAAAGGCAACTGAAAAAAAAACGTCACATTTTTGGCTAGATATGTGGCTAAAGCAAATTTTAAAGGTGCCATTTGTTACTGTCTGCAGGATTCTATGTTAACGAGAACAGTTAATTGATTGTCAGTCAGTAATCTTTTAATATGGATGGATACCAAGGACACCTTTTCCTAAGTGAATTCATAAGCCCTCAAACGTCCAAGTAACTGAGGTTAATGAGATTAGCATAGATTTGATGATGGCCTCCATTAAACCTCCAAGTGATCCACAGTGCTGTGTAAGTGAGGAATCTCTTTGGTTTGTCAAGTGGACTCTCAGAACATCTTAGCGAGCTGGACACAATGGTTTAGAAACCTGCAGGTGGTACCCACATTGTGTGTGTGTGTATGTCTAGTGTGTGTGTGTGTGGCATGTGTGTCACACATGCATTTTGCAACAGGTGTGGGTGTCTGGACTGCTGGTTGTGGAAATTTGGTGATACAGCGATGAGATATTCCTTTAAAATGGTGGTAACTTTCAGTGGGCATATGCTGAGGGACTCAAAAGCACTCTGTCCTGTTCTGTCTGGGGATGAAGGAGAAGGAGGGGCTGAAGGAAGGAGGGAGGAGGAGAGGAGGGAGGAGGAGAGGAGGGCGGAGGGAAGAGGAGGGGAGGAGGCGGGAAGGGAGGAGACGAGGAGGGAGGAGGAGGAAGGGAGAGAAGGATGAAGGAGGAGGGAGGAGAACGTCGGAGAGGAGGGCAGGAAGGAGGCAGGGAGGAGATGAAAGGAGGAGGGGAAGGAGGAGAGGAGGGCTGAAGGAGGAGGGAAGGAGGAGAGGAGGGATGAGGAGGAGGGGGAGAGAGGAGGGCGGTGAGGGAGGAGGGGGGAAGGAGGAGGGCAGGAGGAGAGGAGGGCTGAGGAGAGGGGAGGGAGAGCTGAAGGAGGAGGGCTGAGGAGAGAGGAGCGGAAGGAGGAGGGTGAGGAGGAGGGATGAGGAGAGGAGGGCTTGAAGGAGAGGGCTGAGGGTGGGGAGGGATGAGGGAAAGGCTGAGGGGAGGCAGGCGAGGAGAGGGGGTGAGGAGGGCCCCCCCACCCTCCACTGGCCCGGCTAGGATTTTTTAACAACGCTTTTAGACATGAGCCAGCTCAAATTTGAGTAGAAGTATGTTGAAACAATGCTATCTGATCTAAATCTCAGTATTAACTGAAACATGCATCATGACCTTTACTGTAATTGGCATACCTTGTGCAAATTCCCTTTTAGAGTCTCCTAAAAAGGCATTGTGTGCCCTGCAATCACATGGGACAGCACAGCAGTGAGACGGGCGACGGGCATGTCAATACTGCCTCAGATTCTATGGGTACCCTGCTGGCCATTGGACTGGGGGGTGTCAGAGCCACAGGGATAAGCCTTCAGGGGTGTTCTGGAACACAGAGAAAAAACAAACACTTCTCTCAGAGAATTTTCGTTCACATTATTCACTGGAAACCTGGTTAGTCATTCAACAGATTACTTCCATTCGAAAGATTCCTTTCACACCATTGGACTCACAGTCTAACCAATTCATCTTAGTTTTGATAAGAGGATTAATATTAGATAGTTGGAAAGATTACCAAGGTTGCAATCTTGCTCCTTTGATTTGGGTAACACCCTTAATCCTACCAATAAGTATTCAGCCCAACTCCAGTCAATTGGGATGTATTTGTTCCGGTTGTTTCCTTTTAAAGCGCACTTGTTTACCAAATTAAACTTTCTGTTCCAATCATCTGTCCGTCTCGTTGGACCTTCAAGCGGCTGCTCCCACCTGTCAGCCTTCATTTAACAGTCCGATAGATGAGGTCGGACAGTTGTTTTATTAAAATGCCCGGGCTACAGGGCAAGCAGGCTTGATGAGCTCCGGGCTTCGGGCCCAGACGGATGGCTGGGGGTCATCCCGGGTTCATAAGCCTGCGTGGATACTTCACTCCCAGGCATCAGGATCTCTTTGGCTGTTTGACACAGGGCTCGTTAAGCGCGCTTCATGAATCATGGGCCTTCCTCTATCTACGGCTGTCTTTGCTTTAAAGCAGGATTAGTCCAATAAGCATGACATCGGCCAGGTAGAGAACAGAGTGGGATGAACTAGATATAAGGCATTCATTGTAGTAAACCTGACCTTAGGAAAAACAAGGCAAATGCCATAGCATGAGCAGTGGAGAAATAACATTGACATTTCTTTCATTATGATGAAACAGATGATCATGTGAAAGGTTTACAACATCTGCTTCCCATGAATACTTAACCGTGGGTAAGTTGGCACAGCTGGACTTGAACCTAGTATCGATGTAGGCCACCTCCCCTCCTCCCTCCACCGGCCATCCAGCGTGTTGTAACACATGTCTCGTGTGGATGGAATCGATGTTGTGTCTGTCCAGCTCGTTCCGGGGGGTACACACACAGAGCCGAGGTGCGTCTGAGGGCCCGTTGGAGGAAGCTGGCCCGGGGTGGAGAGAAGACCCCGAGCAAGAGCCATCCCCTTCTCTGCCGCCCCCTGCCCACCTGGGCCGCCTGCAGGAAGGTTGTAGTTCCTCCTCTGGGGAGGAGAGGTATGGAGGAGTGACAACAGGGTACCTCTCATAGAAGTAGTAGGGAGGTGTATCCAGACCACACACGGGCGCATACGTAGGTATTCCCGAGACACAGCCTTAATGTCACGGCGATAGAACAAGAGTACACATGCCCACGGCGAGCGAAGGCAGCTACCAACAATGGTGTCGTACTCCGAGAGCCTTCCCGCCACGGCCAAGCTTGGCAGTCTCGTCGTATGAGAACAACAGGATCAGGGGCCAGATGCCGGTGGAGATGGGCGGATGGCTGATTGTGAACCACGGGCCCAGTAGAGCACGGCCCGCTCCCCGCCTCGGGGGCCCAAACACCAGCCCCACCGTGGACACCCCGGGTCGTTGGCCGCCCCGTACGGGGGTCCACCGGTCTCTCTGTGGAGGGAACAGCACCCTCCTTCACAGACAAGGCTGCGCTTCTTGGCAGGTGCCCTGGTGGACCGTTACCACAGTTGATGAGCTCCATGGCTGAGGGGGTTCCACCAGAGCAGTTGTTGTGGTTGGAGGTGCGCCGGGCCTTGTGGACAGTTGGCCTCGGTTTACAGGGGGAAGACAATCCTTACTATCAGTCACGGGCCGGTCCCCTCCTCCTGCTCCAGACGTAGGCCGCCAGCCGACCAGTTGGACAAGAGGTGGGTCCCTGGCCCCACGTAGACGTTGCCACAGAGGGGTCTGGTGGCAGGAACCAGTGCTCAAAGGAAGTATCATTTCTGGAGACGCGGGGAGAAGTGAGGACAGCGAGGGAGCATGACGGTTGGTGACCAGGAGGAAGACGAGCAAGAAGTTAGCTCAGAGGACATACCAAGTGCATAGAAATATTCTTGCAAGAAAATAAAAACAGTTTTTAAAAACAGTTGTTAAAAAATGCTCAAACATTTCAAGTTTGTTATACAAAACATAGAATATATATGTTATACAATGTCTAACCAGTTGTTTCTGACATTAAAATCAAGTCTCCCCTCATCCACCAAAGAACCACTCCACCTGTAGAGAAAAGAAAGAAAACATGAAAATATTATTACCATTATATCACACAATAATACAGCAGGAGTTAAATTGGTTGGATATGTTCATGAACCTGCAATTGTGAAACATTTTAATAAAGGGCAATCAGCCCCTCTACATTGTCACTCGTCACCTCAGACCCCAGTGTATCAATGGGCCAGTGAATCTCAATGGGCCCCAGTGTAGCAATGGGCCAGTTGGCAGTGGGAGTCCTCCAGTACAGCTTGAAAACCCCAGCTCTCCCCCGTCACCTCACGAAGGACACAGTATGGGACTGTAGCCAGTGACATGAGGATGGGGATAAGAGGGTGAGGAGGGCCCTAGCGGTGGTCCTGGAGTGCTCCGATACACTAGGTGTCTCAGTCAGACCCTTCGTTTTTAAATTTCTTATGATAAGAGGTCTGTTACTTCTTGGCAGTAACCTTCAGGACACTGCAACAGGGGGGGTGGGTAACGTCTTGGACAGTAAACCTCCACACCCCTTGGCCACACGGGATGGAGGAAAGAAAGAAATCACCAAGAGGTTGAAGTAGTCAATGGAAAAGTAACATCACAACATACATTCCATGTGCCTCATGTGTTATTGAGTCAAACCTACAGGTAAATGCCAAAAAATAAAAGGAAACACCAACATAAGTGTCTTAACTTAATGGGTGTTGGCCAACCCACCAAGTCAGAACAGCTTCAATATGCACATTGTCATTTCTGGAAATGGAGAAATTCCATTCATTTGGTGTTTTGTTGATGTGCTAGATCTCTTGCAGAAAAACGCTTTGCTGTCTCAGGGGGCGCTCAATAAGACTCCCATAAAGTGTTGAATTGGGTGAGATCTGGTGGCTGAGGCAGCCATGGCATATGGTTTACATCATTTTCATGCTCATCAAACCATTCAGTGACCCTGAGTGCCCTGTGGATGGGGGCATGTCATCCTAGGGGGCATAACCAGGTTAGCCAAAAATAATGGCCTGCCCCCAGTATTTTATACATCGACCTAAGCATGATGGGGATGTTAATTTGCTTAATTCACTTAGGAACCACACCTGCATGGAAAGCACTGCTTTCATATACTTTGTGTCGGGGACTCCCGAGTGGGCGCCAATGGTCTAAAGTACTGCATCGGTGCTAGCTGTCATGCATAAAGTAATGAATTGAAATTGAATTGAAATTGAAATTGAATTGAAAGAGGGACAGACAGACAAACAGGTGTCAAAGGGTATTCTATTTTTTTCATTTCAAGCTCAAAACAACACTGTATCTTGCACTTCTCATGTCTTACGTCTGTCTCCTCTCCACGGCTGATGTTATACAGGCTCAAGGATTGGATACTGAGACACTGCTGCTGCTGGTCAAAGCTCCACAGCCATTGGCCCTGCAGAGCCCCCCGACTGCACTGGGAACGCTGGCCACACCTGCCATCACAGGGGGACATGGGGGTGAGGGGTGGAACACAGGTCCAAAGAGAGGAAGAAATGGGAAGGTGATCATAAGTTAATGTTGACATTTTGCCTTTGCTCTTCCTATATTTTCAAGCTCTTATTAACTTGACTCTCTGTGGTATAGAATTAGAATAGTGAGTTGGTGCTTCCTCACCTGCCCTCCAGAACACACCAGCCACAGTAAGGGTCTCGGGTTGAGAGACAGGACTGACAGTCCAGGTGATCACACTCTGCCACCGGCCGCTTCTCCACCTGAAAGATTACCCACATCCCTTTCTTATGAACAGCTGTACTATACATGGACAATGAAGCTGTAGAGGTGCTATAATTGTGTTATATCATTTATAAATTCCCCCTAACCCCCCCCCCCCCCCCCCCCCCCCCACACACACACACACACACACTTTATAGTACTTGCTTTTCATGGGAAGGCCTTCTAATCTAAAAGGGAGTGTGCCAATGGCTGGTCAGACAAAATGCAAAAACACATCTGTACCTACCCTTGATTGACTTCACTGCATTCCGCCCCCCAACCATCAGCTCAAGAAAAAAAAACGGCCTGTGGCTGAATGTAGTTGATGATCCCTGCTCTATATTAGGAGAGTCAACTAGCTAGTGATGATGTGTTTGAGCTGTGTTTTGCTGTGTGGTGTCCACTCAGACTAACCATTGTGCTGGTCATGATGTAGATGTGGGACTCCGTCTGGTCCAGGAGAAGGTCGCTGCTGATGGGTGAGTTGGGCTGGATGATCATGGAGGAGTACTTCTCCACCCTACCTCCAGAGCCTAGGAACACCTGGAGGGAAGCATAAGGTTACTGTCGTAAACTATCAATCATTTCCAAGTAGGGCTGTGGCAGTCACGAAATTTCGTCAGCCAGTGATTGTCAAGCAAATAACTGTCGGTCTCACTGTAATTGAATTGTAGTTAACATAAACACATTTAGCATTATATTGACATTTGAGTCATTTAGCAGACACTCTTATCCAGAGCGACTTACATGAGCAATTAGGGATAAGTGCTGCCCTGGCTTCCACACATAGCCTACAAGCCACTGATGCAGACCTTTGGAACATCTACATTTTAAAAAGTCTAATAAATCCATGTAATATAGCCTACACCTTCACAATAAATCCATTATTTATTTTAGACAGGTCTAAAGAAGCATGATATGAAGAAAATGTAGTCTATTTCAGAAGAACAGAATAGCATAGTTGTCCTTATGTTAGGTCCTGATCTGGCTATGCCAAATGGCTGTGGGCTACACTAGCTCATTTAGCAGACATGATTTGCTTAGAATTCCCGTGGCATGATTTTATATTATTTTATAGTATGAAGAATACAATTGAACAAAACTGAATAAAATAGAAAGGTTATTTTCTCCAAACGATTTGAGGGAGTGTGCACATGCGGCTATTCTGTGGTATTATAACCAGAGAGGCGGGGCTTCCGAGGACGAGCTCGGCATCCATTGGCCTGTTGGGCGTAATTTAAGTTTGCTTCAGGTGAATAGGATTGGTCGTTGGACTCCCCATTGTATGTTATACCTCGTTCCCTCCTTCAGGGAACAGTAGTTATATTCACAACTGTACGTTTTATATGTACTGTATGTGCTGAGTGTGTACTATACTGTACTGTACGTTTTATATGTACTGTATGTGCTGAGTGTGTACTGTACTGTACTGTACGTTTTATATGTACTGTATTTGCAAACCCCCTGACGGTGCGGGGCCAAAATATGTTATACCTCGTTCCCTCCTTCAGGGAACCGTAGTTATATTCATAACTGTACGTTCCCTTTCAGTCGTATAACATACTATGGGGACATACTATCACGCCCCCAAGCCGGCTCAGAGGGTACCAAACTAGGGGGCCCACGGCAGGCCAAGCATACACAGGTTCCACCGTCTCCAAAAAGGGGTTACAGAAGCCTAATATTTACCAGAGAAGCCTAAACTGTCAGAGCCCAATATAGGGAACCAGAACCTACTGCAACTTGGCTATGCGCACTGACACGCTGCCACTGCAGCCCAAGTCCCAAGACCACACGGTCCCAATAACAATACTTAACTTGCAAGCCTGAAATGTCAGAACTCGTACAAGGAACCTCAAGTCCAAAACACCTGTCGTGACTTGGTAAAGCGCACGCGCGCGCTGCATAGCATCGGCCAGAGTCGATGAACCACGGCAGCCTGAGGGTCAAACCCACAGGAAACCTGCAGTAACCTGGAAACGGTATACTCGCGTGCTGCCACGGCAGACCAAGGCTTAAACCCGCAGGGAAACTGTGATAACCCGGACAAAATGCTGCCTAACATCGATCACGGTGGCCCAAGTCCATAGACCCTACCGGTTCCAAAAAGGCTCACACCAAGACCTGAGGAGTCTGGAATGCCAGAACTCACACAAGGAACCGCAAGTCCAAAACAACAGGGCACCTGCGGTGACTTGATAATGCGCATTTGCACGCCGCGTTATCGACGAACTGCGGCAGCCAAAGGCTCAAACCCAAAGGGAAACTGTGGTAACCTGAATAAATGCGCAACCTGCACTGTGCCTAACACCCACTCCTGGACCCACTCCTGGACCCACTCCCCACACCCAGCTCCTAACACCCAGCCTGGAACCCACTCCTGGACCCACTCCCTAACACCCACTCCTGGACCCACTCCTGGACCCACTCCCCAACACCCACTCCCTAACACCCACTCCTGGACCCACTCCTGGACCCACTCCCTAACACCCACTCCTGGACCCACTCCCCAACACCCACTCCTGGACCCACTCCTGGACCCACTCCCCAACACCCACTCTGGACCAACTCTGGACCCACTCCCTAACACCCCATCCTGGACCCACTCCCCAACCCCACTCCCTAAACAACCCACCCTGGACCCACTCCTGGACCCACTCCCCAACAACCACTCGCTAACACCCACTCCTGGAACCCACCTGGACCACACTCCCTAAACCCACTCCTGGACCCATCCCAACACACCACTCCCTAACACACCACGTCCTGGACCCAGCCATAAGAACACTATGAGCCACACTGGGAGCACATACGTCCAAGCGATAAAACCTCACAAAGGTATGTGGGGAAGCCCAAATCGCTGCAGCACAGATATCACCAATCGTCATGCCCCCGAACAATGCCCAAGAAGCCGCCACACCCCTAGTGGAGTGAGCACGCCCACTGCTAGGTTACCCTTGCCCTTTGCTGTCACACGCCAGGGAGATAGCCTCCACTATCCAATTAGAAAGTGCCCTACCCCGAGCTGGATTAGGGAAAAAGCTGGTCATTAATGTGGATATCCTTGGTCCTATCCATATCTACGTGCGTAAAGCGTGCATATGACACAGGCCATGCAACCTCTGTTGTTCACTGGAAGCAAACAGAGGAGGTGAGATAGGGAACAGCTTGAAAGCCAGGGACCTGTAAGACATAGGTATAACCTTTGGAGCAAAAGCTGCATTAGGACGTAACCTCACATTGGAGTCGCCAGGCGCAAACTCCAAACAGGAAGGGTGTACTAATAGCACTTGGAAATCCCCAACGCGCTTGGCCGACGCCAAGGCCATGAGCAGGGCAGTCTTGTAGGAAGGACCTTCAGGTCCACAGACTCCTTTGGTTCAAACGGCGGCTCACTCAATGTGGAACCGCACAACCAGAGGATGAGACCCTGGGGTAGAGCCGTCAATCCTGAGATGGCTGCCATATAAATCTTCAATGTGGAAAAAGGCCCTGCTCAAAAAGCTCTTGCAAGAACATCAAAATGTCCACCAAAAGAGCTCTGAAAAAGGAGAAACTCCTTTAACCTGACACCAACCCTCAAATGTGCGTCACTTATACAGTATGTATGCGATCCTCTCATAGAGGGTGAACGCGCCAACTATGCAGTCTGTGAGAGAAAAAATAGTATTAGCATTACTTCAAGGTTAATATAAATTATAGGTGTGTACAATCCTGTTACTCTGGTTGTGTAAGTTGCTGTTATAACATAACTCTATCTCTGTATCTAATCCACCACGGCTGTGCACATCTCGTGTTCTTACCCCCACCCTCTGTACTCTGAAACTTGCATGTTCGGATACAAGGTATCTCTGTTCCGAACGAAGTCTCTCCTTATCCTCTATTCTAAGAACAAACAGTTCTTAGTAATCGCATGAGAACACAGAGGACTCTGATATTTGCCACCTCATCCAGTAGATATCTGTTGGTTCGACACATTGAGACAGTTGTGGTGGAACCAGCCATGACTAAGCATTATTGGTCTACTATATAAGACCTCTGTTTATCTCTGTATGTCAGAGCTCTCGGCCCAACACTCAAGAGTGTGGGGTCGACCAGCCTCATTATTGCAGAGCACTCACTCTATTCATTTGTGTGTGTGGTGTGACCTGCTCCCTTATTAATACATTTTGAATAAAGTAATATCCTGATTGGTGATTGACCTTGTCTCTCCTCATTAATTAATTAGCATTTCTAAGTCATAATCACGTTAGAGGGAAAACCCCTAGCTGACAAATTCAACCTTTCAGGGTCCAAACCCACAGATCCCATATCTGCGGTCGTGGGTGCCAAATTCTTCCGTGCGCCTGGGACAATAGATACCGATGACCCAGCCCAACAGGCGGATTATCTCTGGGAACCAGGGTTGTCTGGACAACGGGGAGCCACCAAAATCAACAACACACCCTCCTGATGGACCCTATCCTCGATGGCCTGAATCAGGTCCACCAGAAAAACACATAGAGCAGGGTACGGGGCCGTTCCCAATGGAGCGCCCAGATCCCTTATTGAGAAGAACAGATGACAATGCGTATTCTTGCGCTGCATAAGATCTACGTTGGCTCTGACGAACCGGTCCCATATCTGGTCCACCACCAAGGGGTGCACTCTCCACTCCATAGAGATAGGACCCCCCCTAGAAAGTAGATCTTCACCCACGTTGAAAGATCTGGGAAGATACGTCGCCCTGAGCGACAGGAAATGCGCACTGCTCCATATGAGCAGACAACAGGCCAGGTTTAGGAGAGAGAGAGAGAGACTGCGTCCCTCCTTGTATGTTGATGTAGGATAGTAAATCATCCCAGGAGTCCTGACTCTGAACACTGCCAGAGAAACCGGAATGAGCCTCACTCGGCTGAACTCCACTCTAACCACCAATCTTCTTCACAAAGGCAGCCCGACTCCCAATGGAAGTTGAACCCAGCCGGAGACAATGGTCACACGAACTGGTCTGAGCCAAGGCCTCCTGAGCGTGTTTCCACCCCAGGAAATAGGACAGCACTCGTGAGTATCTTTAATTTTCTTTGTGAAAACCACCTAGGGCACGGTCGGAGGTTCAAACTCGGCTGGTTAGCCTTTTTGAACTTACTCTTACCACTGGCCATCTTAGTCAAGCAAGGAAGCATTGGCTACACAAGCAGAGCAGAAAGTAGTGGGTTTTTCACAAACACAAAAACCGATACCAAGGCCCAAAACTGGCAACATCTAGGGCAGAGGTTCCCAAACATATTTGGCTCACGAGTCACGACCCCATTTTGATGTCAAACAAACATTTTGCAACCCCAACATGTAAAAAAATTATAGTTATGTAATCCACAGCCAATGTTTACTTTTTTAATTGAGACTGTGACAGTCTATTACAAATCAGTCTGACAGTACTTCAATAACCCCTGTTCTATTAACCAAGTGCGATTTTATATATTTTATTTCAGAGTTTCTCTCACGACCCCAGACGGGGCTTTCGAGGGCGGGCTCGGCATCCATTGGCCCGTTGGCCGTGATATCCGTTTGCTTCAGGTGATTAGAATTGGTCGTTGACTCCCCATAGTATGTTATACAGAGTGACCGACTGAAAGGCAACTGAAAAACAAAAGTCACATTTTTGGCTAGAATATGTGGCTAAAAGCAAATTAAAGGTGCATTTGTACTGTCTGCAGGATTCTATTGTAAAGAGAACAGTTAATTTGATTGTCAGTCAGTAAATCTAATCTGGAGGATACCAAGACACCTTTTCCTAAGTGAATCATAAGCCCTCAAACTCTCAAGTTACCTGAGTTTAATGAGATTAGCATAGATTTGATGATGGCCTCCATTAACCTCCAGTGATCACAGTGCTGTAAGTAGGAATCTCTTTGGTTTGTCAAGTGGACTCTCAGAACATCTTAGCGAGCTGACACAATGGTTTAGAAACCTGCAGGTGGTACCCACATTGTGTGTGTGTGTGTATATGTGTGTGTGTGTGTGTGCATGTGTGTTCACACATGCATTTGCACATGTGTGTGTGTCTGAATGCTGGTTGTGGAATTTGGTGTACAGCGATGAGATATTCCCTTTAAAATGGGTAACTTCAGTGGGCTATATGCTGAGGGACTCAAAGCCCTCTGTCCTGTTCTGTCTGGGGCTGAGGAGAGGAGGGCTGAAGGAGGAGGGCTGAGGAGAGGAGGGCTGAAGGAGGAGGGGCTGAGGATGAGCTGAGGATAGGAGGGCCTGGAAGGAGGAGGGCTGAGGAGGAGGGCTGAGGAGAGGAGGGCTGAAGGAGGAGGGCTGAAGGAGGAGGGCTGAGGAGAGGAGGGCTGAAGGAGGAGGGCTGAAGGAAGAGGAGAGGGCTTGAAGGAGGAGGGCTGAAGGAAGGAGTGGCTTGAGGAGAGGAATGTGCTGAAGGATGAGGGCTTGGAAGGAGATAAGGGCTGGGAGAGGGAGGGGCTGAAGGTGAAGGAGGAGGGCTTGAAGGAAGGCAGGGCTGAGGAGAGGAGGGCTGAAAAGGAGGAGGGCTTGAAGGGAGGAGGGCTGAGGAGAAGGAGGGCCTGAAGGAGGAGGGCTGAAGGAGAGGGGGCGTGAGAGAGTAGGGAGGGCTGAAGGAGGGAGGGCTGAAGGAGGAGGGCTGAGGAGAGGAGGGGGCTGAGGAGAGGAGGGCTGAAGGAGGAGGGCTGAGGAGAGGAGGGCTGAAGGAGGAGGGCTGAGGAGAGGAGGGCTGAAGGAGGAGGGCTGTGGAGGAGGGCTGAGGAGAGGAGGGCTGAAGGAGGAGGGCTGAGGGTGGAGGGCTGAGGAAGGCTGAGGGGAGGAGGGCTGAGGAGAGGAGGGCTGAGGAGGGCTCCCCCACCTCCCCCTGGCCCTGGCTATGGCTTTAACAACGCTTTTAGACGATGTCCAGCTCCATTTGAGTAGAAGTATGTCTGAAACACTGCTATCTTGATCTAAATCTCATGTATTAACTGAAACATGCATCATGACCTACTGTAACTTGGCATACCTTGTGCAAATTCCCTTTAGAGTCTCCTAAAAAGGCAATTGTGTGCCCTGCCCTCACACTGACAGCCACAGCAGTGAGACGGGCGGACGGGCTGTCCAATACCGCCTCAGCTTCTATGGGTACCCTGCTGGCCATTGGACTGGGGGTGTGGTCAGAGCCACAGGGATAAGCCTTCAGGGTGTTCTGGAACACAGAGAACAAACAATACACTTCTCTCAGAGAATGTTCCGTTCACATTATCACTGGAACCTGGTTAGTCATTCAACAGTATTACTTCCATTCAGAAATATTCCTTTCACACCATTGACTCACAGTCTAACCAATCCTCTTAGTTTTTATAAGAGGATTAATATTAGATTAGATTGGAAGCATACCAAGGTTGCAATCTTGCTCCTTTGATTTTGGTAACACCCTTAAATCCCTACCAATAAGTATTCAGCTCAACTCCAGTAAATTGGGATGTATTTTGTTCCAGGGCTTGTTTCCTTTAAAGCGCATTGTTTACCAAATTAACTTTCTGTTCCAATCCATCTGTCCGTCTCGTTGGACTTCAAAGCGCTCCTCCCCATCCTTGTCAGCCTTCATTTAACAGTCCGATAGCTGAGTCGGGACAGTTTGTTTTATTAAAATGCCCCGGGCTACAGGGCAAGCAGGCTTGATGAGCTCCGGGCTCCGGGCCCAGACTGGAGGCTGGGGGTCATCCCGGGTTCATAAGCCTGCGTGGCTACTTCACTCCCAGGCATCAGGGATCTCTTGGCTGTTTGACACAGGGCTCGTTAAGGCTCTTCATGAATCATTGGCCTTCCTCTCTCTACGGCTGTTCTGCTTTAAGCATGGATCTAGTCCAATAAGCATTACATCGGCCAAGGTAGAGAACAAGTGGGATTGAACTAGATTATAAGGCATTCCATTGGTAGTACCCTGACCTTAGGAAAAACAAGGCAAATGCATAGCATTGAGCAGTGGAGAACTACATTGACATTTCTTTCATTCTGATGAAACAGAGGAATCATGTGAAAGGTTTACAACATCTGCTCCCCTGAATACCTTACCGTGGGTAAGTTGGCACAGCTGGACTTGACCTCGTACTCGATGTAGGCCACCTCCCCTCCTCCCTCCACCCGGCCATCCAGCGTGTAACACATGTCTCGTGTGGAATCGATGTGTCTGTCCAGCTCGTCCAGGGGGTACACACACAGAGCCGAGTCGTCTGAGGGCCCGTTGGAGAAGCTGGCCCGGGTGGAGAAGACCCCGAGCAGAGCCTCCCCTTCTCTGCCGCCCCCCTGACCCACCTGGGCCGCCTGCAGGAGGTTGTAGTTCCTCTCTGGGGAGGAGGTATAGGAGGAGTGACACACCAGGGGTACCTCTACATAGGAGTAGTAGGAGGTGTCATCCAGACACACACGGGCAGCATACGTACGGTATTCCCGCGACACAGCCTTAATGTCACGGCGATAGAACAAGAAGTACACATGCCCACGGCGAGCGAAGGCAGCTACAAAATGGTGGTCGTACTCCGAGAGCCTTCCCGCCACGGCCAGCTTGGCAGTCTCGTCGTATGAGAACACAGGCTCATGGGCCAGATGCCGTGTGGAGATGGGCGGATGGCTGCTTGTGTAACCACGGCCCACGTAGAGCACGGCCCGCTCCCCGCCTCGGGGCCCAACCACCAGCCCCACCGTGGACACCCCCGGGTCGTTGGCCGCCACGTACTGGGTGTCCACCGGCCTCTCTGTGGAGAACAGCACCTCCTTCACAGAGGCAAGGCTGCGCTTCTGGCAGGTGCCCTGGTGGACGTTACCACAGGTGATGAGCTCCATGGCTGAGGGGTCCACCAGGAGCAGCTTGTTGTGGTTGGAGGTGCGCCGGGCCTGGGGACAGTTGGCCTCGGTGACAGGGGGAAGACACTCCTTACTATCAGTCACTGGGCCGGTCCCCTCCTCCTGCTCCAGACGTAGGCCGTCCAGCCCGTCCAGTTGGAAGAGGTGGTCCCTGGCCCCCACGTAGACTGTGCCCACAGAGGGGTCTGGGTGCAGGACCAGGTGCTCAAAGGAAGTATCATTTCTGGAGAAGCGGGGATAAGTGCGGACAGCGAGGGAGCATGAGGTGGTGACCAGGAGGAAGACGAGCAGAGTTGAGATCAGAGACATACCAAGTGGCATAGCAAATATTCTGCAAAGAAAATAAAAACAGTTTTTAAAAACAGTTGTTAAAAAATGCTCAACATCAAGTTTGTTATACAAACATATTAATATATATTTATACAATGTCTAACCATTTGTTTCTGACATTAAACTCAAGTCTCCTCCTCATCCACCAACATAACCACTCCACCTGTAGAGAAAAGAAAACATGAAAATATTATTACAATCTAATATCACCCAATAATCCAGCAGGAGTTACATTGGTTGGATCATGTTCATGAACCTGCCATGTGAAACATTTTAATAAGGGCATACAGCCCATTCTCCATTGTCACTCGTCACCTCACTACCCCAGTGTATCAATGGGCCAGTGAATCAATGGGCCAGTGTATCAATGGGCCAGTTGGCCAGTGGGAGTCCTCCAGTACAGCTGAAACCCCAGCTCTCCCCCGTCCCCTCACGAAGGACCACAGTATGTGACTGTAGCCAGTGACATGAGGATGGGGCATAAGAGGGTGAGGAGGGCCCTAGCTGGTGGTCCTGGAGTGCTCTGATACACTAGGTGTGTCTCAGTCAGACCCTTCGTTACTTCTTCATGATAAGAGGTCTGTTACTTCTTGGACAGTAACCTCCAGGACCACTGCAACAGGGGGGTGGTCACGTCTTGGACAGTAACCTCCACACCCACTGCCACACGGGATGGAGGAAAGAAATCACCAAGAGGTTGAAGTAGTCCATGAAATATACATCAAACATACAATTCCATGTGCATCATGTTTTATTGAGTCAAACCTACAGGTAAATGCCAAAATAAAGGAAACACCAACATAAAGTGTCTTAATAGGGTGTTGGGCCACCACAAGTCAGAACAGCTTCAATGCACCTTGTCATGTCTGGAACTGGAGAAATTCCATCATTTGGTGTTTTGTTGATGGTGCTAGAAAACGCTGTCTCAGGGGCTGCTCCATAATCTCCCATAAGTGTTGAATTGGGTTGAGATCTGGTGACTGAGGCAGCCATGGCATATGGTTTACATCATTTTCATGCTCATCAAACCATTCAGTGACCACTGGTGCCCTGTGGATGGGGGCATTGTCATCCTATGGGGGCATAACCATGGTAGCCAAAATAATGGCCTGCCCAGTATTTTTATACATGACCCTAAGCATGATGGGATGTTAATTGCTTAATTCACTTAGGAACCACACCTGCCTGGAAGCACCTGCTTTCAATATACTTTGTGTCTGGGCCTCCCGAGTGGCGCAATGGTCTAAAGTACTGCATCGTAGTGCTAGCTGTGCCACCAGAGATCCTGGTTCGAATCCAGGCTCTGTCGCAGCTGGCTGCGCCTGGGAGACCCATGGGGCGGCGCACAATTGGCCCAGCGTTGTCCAGGTTAGGGGAGGGTTTGGCTGGCAGGGATGTTCTTGTCCCATTGCACACTAGTGACTTGTGTGGTGGGTGCAGTGCACGCTGATACGGTCGCCAGGTGTACGGTGTTTCCATCAATACCTTTGTCAGATAACACTGATTTAAAAAAAAAATTATGCTCTGACAGAACAACTCAAAAACTTCCCAGCTTATGCTCTCCAAATGGATGTTAGCTGTGAGGGCCGAGATGCCCAGGCATTGACTTCTGTTCGCTATACATGTCGGGGGATGCTATTCATGAGGACATAATGTTCTGTCTCATGATTCCCGAGCATGAAACGGCATAGTGTGTGCTGCGTGGCTATATAGACGGAAAACAGATTCCATATGGGATCGAATGGTGGGCTTTTGCACAGATGGGGCTCCATCTATGGCGGGACGGCAGGCAGGCCTCTGCACTCTAGTTATGAAAGTGTCTCCCTCTGCCATATGGACGCATTGTATGATACAACGAGAGCAACTGGCGGCAAAAGAGCTGACCACAGAACTCTGAGATATACTGCAGCAGGTCACTTCTATTGTAAACTACATCAAACCACATCCACTGCGCGCACGCCTGTTCGCAAAACTATGTGGAGATATGGGATCAGAGCATGACAATGTTCTATTTCACCCCGAGGCTTGGTGGTTATTGAGGGGGAGTGCTGGAAAGATTTTTCGCATTGCGAGAGGAACTGTTGTCATTCACAATGGATGTAAAAAAAAAAACAAAAAAAAACAAAAAAAAACAGACTTGGTTGACTTTCTGTGTAATTAAAACAAATTAACAGAAAACAGCATCAGTAAGTGTCCCACACGAGTGATAACTGCTCACCTCCAACGCTTGGAAGAGCACTTTGGGACCTACTTCCCAATCCGTTTGACTGTGATCCTGGCTCAGTTGACATGCCGGTAAGTGAAATCAAACAGCTGATCGAGCTGTCATGTGATCGAATGCGGCAGACAAAGCATTCACGGGTCACTACAGAGGAGTTTTGGTTTCTGACTGAAAGGGAAGACCCTGCCGTCTCCCTCTGAGCATTAATGCCGCGTTCAAAACAACTGGGGACTCGTAACTCGGAAATCTCAGGCTTCCGACTTCAGTGCGTTCAAAACAACTGGGAACTCTGAAAGAAACAAGGCACTGCATCACCGGGCTTGAGGCATCACTACAGACCCGGGTTCGATTCCAGGCTGTGTCACAGCCGGCCGTGACCGGGAGACCCATGAGGAGGAGCGACAATTGTCCCAGTGTCGTCCGGGTTAAGGGAGGGTTTTGCCGGCTGGGATTTCCTTGTCCCATTGCGCTCTAGCGACTCCTTGTGGCGGGCCGGGCGCCTGCAAGCTGACTTCGGTGTTTCCTACGTCACATTGGTGCGGCTGGCTTCCGAGTTAAGCGTCGGTGGATTGTGGAGGCCAGGTCATCTGATGCAGCACTCCATCACTCTCCTTCTTGGTCCTTCTTAACCAGATGGGATGGCGTATCGCTGCAGAATGCTGTGGTAGCCATGCTGGTTAAGTGTGCCTTGAATTCTAAATAAATCACAGACTGTCACCAGCAAAGCACCCCCACACCATAACACCTCCTCCTCCATGCTTCACGGTGGGAACAACACATGCAGAGATCATCTGTTCACCCACACCGCGTCTCACAAAGCCACGGCGGTTGGAACCAAAAATCTCACATTTGGACTCCAGACCAAAGGACAACTTTCCACCGGTCTAATGTCCATTGCTCGTGTTTCTTGGCACAAGCAAGTCTCTTCTTCTTATTGATGTCCTTTAGTAGAGGTTTCTTTGCAGCAATTCGACCATGAAGGCCTGATTCACACAGTCTCCTCTGAACATCTGATGTTGAGATGTGTCTGTTACTTGAACTCTGTGAAGCATTTATTTGGGCTGCAATTTCTGAGGCTGGTAACATAATGAACTTATCCTCTGCAGCAGAGTTAACTCTGGGTCTTCCATTCCTGTGGCGGTCCTCATGAGAGCCAGTTTCATCATAGTGCTTGATGGTTTTTGCGACTGCACTTGAAGAAACTTTCAAAGTTCTTGAAATGTTCAGTATTGACTGACCTTCATGTCTTAAAGTAATGATGGACTGTTGTTTGTCTTTGCTTATTTGTGCTGTTCTTGCCATAATATGGACTTGGTCTTTTATCAAATAGGGCTATCTTCTGTATACCCCCCCACCTTGTCACAACACAACTGATTGGCTCAAATGCATTAAGAAGGAAATAAATTCCACAAATTAACTTTTAACAAGGCACACCTGTTAATTGAAATGCATTCCAGGTGACTATCTCATAAAGCTGGTTGAGAGAATGCCAAGAGTGTGTAAAGCTGTCATCAAGGCAAAGGGTGGCTATTTGAAGAATCTCAAATATAAAATATATTTTGATTTGATTAACACTTTTTTGGTTACTACATGATTCCATATGTGTTATTTCATAGTTTTGATGTCTTCACTATTATTTTACAATGTAGAAAATAGTACAAATAAAGAAAAACTCTTGAATGAGTAGGTGTGTCCAAACTTTTGACTGGTAGTGTATATATAAAAAAAGATAATTTACGTCATGATTTGACATCAGAGTTTCCAGTTGTCTTTAAAGCACCATAAAACTCAGTGTAGGCTCCCCTTCGCCAGCTCATACCAGTGTGAAGCTGGATTCAGTGCTCTCGTCTGCATTAAAACTAAATATCGATTCTGGTTGGATGTGACAGCAGAAATGAAGTGCGCACTGTCGACCACGCCCCCTGACTTTGAGAAGCTCCAACGTAACATGCATCAAAAACACACATCTCATTATTGGTGTTGAGATAAGAGACATTATGTCAGACAAATTTGCAATTGACTGTCATAGCCCTAAATAAAAAAGTAAACATTGGCTGTTAATTGCATATTTTGTTTCACATGGTTGGGGTCACAAGAATTTTCAGTTATCAAAATGGGGTCGTGGGCCAAAGAAGTTTGGGAACCCCTGGTCTAGACCTAGTGGCCCGTGATACACAGCTGCACTGTGAGGCCTGGGAAGATTAGAGAACACAGCCATGCTCTGCTGTCCTCACCTGCTCTTTGACCGGCTGATGTCCCACTGTCAATATTTTTAGTGCAGAGGGAAAAATCGTCATGGGAACTTCCTCTTAGTAACAGGAGTAGCAGCGTAGGATAGGACTGGGAAAACAATACTAATCATTCCTTTGTACCAACATAAAAAGGAGCCTCATTTCCAATGTCTGCCAACCGCCCAAATTGTAATAAGAATGTAGCACTTTATTGTTACTACTACTACTGCTACGGTACCAGTTTGTAATGATCAAACATAATAACATGGGAGGAGAGGGGCTCGGGGACAGGGGCACGCAGAGCCAACAATCTCCAGAGTTCATGGGCCGTGTCTGGAATGCATGGCTCTGCCCTGGTGCAGTCCAAGGAACCTATAAATATTAGGCTATTAGGCTGTCAGCAGCACTGGTGGTCTGATCAGGGTTTTACAATCCCACTACACTACAGCCAAGTCCGATGTGCTCCACAGCTCTACGCACAGAGACTCCTCAGAAACAAGAGAGAGATCGGGAGACTCTCCTCTATGTTGATCAATCAT